ATATATAAGCAGGTGTGGAGTGTTCGATGCTAAATGATTTCAGCAGATGAAGTGGGCAGGATTAAATCAGGCTGTCGTGATTCCAGAATAAAAGCCCCATTCATGTTTCCTGTAAAAGTGACTGGCTGTTAAAACATTTCTAACACCTGAATGGGCATGGAACAATCCCCAGTGAATCATGACTGCAAACACTGAGCGACTGAGATAAAAATATTTATAATTTGTCAAGAACAAATTTGAACCACATGTCACCAATAGCCATACAATAACGGTATAATATCACAGCAGTTACAGCAGTGGAAAAATACTCCCCCCACTTCTCTACTTCAAAGATTAAAGCTGCCAGATCATAACGTTTTGTGAACTGATGCTGTGTTTTTATGTGTATCTTTTTGGATTTGAGCAGTGAGTTGTTTCTAATGTAACAAATCCTCCTCGCAGGCTTTGTATCATGGAAAGTTCATCGACACCGGCTTCACGCTGCCATTCTACAAGCGAATGCTCGACAAGAAACCCACGCTGAAAGACCTGGAGTCCATAGACCCTGAGTTTTATAACTCCATCATGTGGGTCAAGTAAGTAATGCAGGGTGGGTTACCTGTTTGTGTGTTGTTATTATTTTATGCTCACAAGGGTAGAAAGTGGAGGGAAATTATTAGTAATAGCATTTTTCCAGGCCTTTCCTTCTCCTTCTTTTTTATAACTTTTTATTTGTTTTGTAATTGAAAGAAAGAACTGAACAAGAACAACCCAGGTGTGAAATCAGTCATGTTGAAAACAGAAGAAGAAAAAAACTTTTTATTAATCACCACATAAAATCGAAACGTTGTTTAAATTTAGGTCTCTCCAAAATATGATTTCTAAGGATTACTAACCATGGAAAACATAATAGGTTGAGTTTTAAATGATAGCCTGATTTTCTCCAGGGTTCCTGCAGCTTAATTATTAATGCCACTGCAAATGAAATTTAAGAACTGTGAAATACCTGGCATTGGCTGACGAGTTTTCCTGGCGGTTTTGGGTTTCTCACTCTGCATGGTGGATTCCACAGCCTTGAATCTCATTGTGCAGAGTTTTAAAAACGTATTACATTAAGTAAACTGAGCCTTGTATGCTTTGCCATGTACCGGCTTCAGCCTTGCCATGAAATCTTGGTTAAATAGCCAATTTACGCTGAATTTGCACCTCCCTATGTCATCCAAGGCAAAGTGACAGCTACCTAATAGACAGTGGATCCTCTGCTCATCTGAGCATCCCAACCGGAAACAAAATGCAACCATTTTTGGGACCACTATCCTGAACTTTTGTTACGGCAATGTGAGAGGCATTCAGTAAATTGCGTAAGAAAAATAGGGGTTACAAATTGTTTTGAGATTATCCAATGCAACGTCACAAAAAAAAAACTGATTCATAAAATCCTACATCCCATGTCTGATCATTTTTAAGACTACTTTAAGACTACTTTAAGACATTTTGATACTACTTAAGGCCTTTTTTTTTTTTTTTTTAAGACTTCTTAAGGATCCACAGGAACCCTGTTCTCAGTCCCAGGGGATTTAACATACTCTATCCCTAAAGGCAGAGTAGCAGGTGGTTTTCAGTTTAAAAGAATCATCCTTCTTGCAAAAAGTGTATCTGTAGCAAAGGCCTTAAATGTAGGTTGTTTTTTGTGTTTGTCCAGAGAAAACAACCTGGAGGAGTGTGGCGTAGAGCTGTATTTTGCACAGGACATGGAGATCCTCGGGAAGGTTTCCACTCACCAGCTGAAAGACGACGGAGAGAACGAGCTGGTCACAGAGGAAAACAAGGAAGAGTACATCAGGTATGTTAACATCAGCAGTAATAGATACCACAGCTCCAGAGACAAAAATCCAAACTTCATCAATAAAAAGTCCAAGTGATGTCCGCGCTGGAGATGCAACCATAAAAACCAACCAACCGCTCTTCCTTCCTTCAGCCTGCTGACAGACTGGAGATTCACTCGTGGAGTGGAGGAGCAGACCAAAGCCTTCCTGGACGGCTTCAACGAAGTGGTCCCTCTGGAGTGGCTTCGCTACTTTGACGAGAAGGAGCTGGAGGTGAGGAGGAGCAGGAGGGCTGTAGGAAGAGGTAGCAGGTTCATCAGTATTCAAAAGTAATAAAACAACATCCTTTAAAAGTCAGAAGAATTGTAATGAACCAAAGTTTCCGTCATATTTCATACAAAGCAGTGATAGGTCATAGACTGTATATTGTCAGAAATGCTTGCTGTGTTCAGTGAGAAAGAAGCCATTTTGTTATTTTTGTTTCCTTATTTCACAGGTTAAATTGGTCTTAAACATAGATGAAAAATAAAGCACCTATTGTGGTGTGGTGGTACTTCAAACATCTCTTTGTGTATGGGAGAAATGATAGCAGTATTCCTTAATTTATATTTATATTTTATATGATACAAAAAGCCGCAGTACAATGTATGTTAGGAAAAAAGATTTGAAAGATGAGCTTTAACTCTTAAAAAGTCTTAGTTGAGGGTGCTTGAACTACGTGCAGCATCATACACTGATCAGCCACAACATTTAAACCACTGTCAGGCAAAGTGAATAACACTGATCGTCTCATTACAATGTTATGTTGTGCTGGGAAACCTTAGAACCTGGCATTCATGTGGATGTCACTGGACACACACCAACCACCCAAACACTGTTACAGACCATTTAAATCCCCTCATGGCAAAGGCACTGTCTAATGGCAGTGCCCCCCCAGCAGGACAGTGCGCCATGCCACACCACACCACAAAAACTGCTCAGGAATGAACCCCAGGAATGTGACAAAGAGCTCAAGGCATCAATCTGGCTTCCAAATTCCCCACATCCCAATCTGATTGAGCAGCCATGGGACGTGCCAATACCCCAGACGTCCTGTGTCCATGCCTCGATGGGTCACAGCGAAGTCTGACCCACAGTGGGGCCTGTGGTGTCTGGCACCAGGGCCTTGGCAGTGCATCCTTTGAGTCCTGTGGGTTGTGAGGTAGGGTACTGGCACTTCCCACAGATGCTGGATCAGATTAGGATCTGGGAAATTAGGAAGGCAAGTTGACGCCTTGAGTTCTTTGTCAAGTTGCTCGGGCCATTTGTGGGCAGTGTGGCATGGTGCATTGTCCTGCTGGGGGGTCACTGCCATGAGGGGTTGTACTTGGTCTGTAACAGTATTGAACATTGTATTGGAATGAGATGATCAGAGTTAATAACTTCATCTGTCAGTCGTTTTAATGTTGTGGCTGACTGGTGTATATTTATAAAACACTGAGGAGGTGAGAAAGAGTGAGAGCAAGAATAAAGGATGTTAACACTAATTTTCTACTGCGTGTACTGAGAATCCTTTTCTTGTTTTTTTGTTAGTGATGCTGGTTTAGTTTATGAATAGTTCCTGATCCTGACTGATGAACAGTTTGACTCCTGCTGCGATTGAGCTCTGTCCCAGCAGAAAGTCAGTCTAATATACACAGGGAATTAAATTAGCCTGAAGCAGAGATAGGACATACTGTGAATGTCCTGTGTTGTCCTCTTCCTACTGAGTCAGACAAACACTAAGAATAAAGGACACAACACTGCACACAGTTTCCCCTCAGGCATCAATTAAGTATTTCTGATTCTGTTGGAGTGGACTTTAAACATCATTTTCTTTGTTGCAGCTGATGCTGTGTGGGATGCAGGAGATCGACTTGGCCGACTGGCAGAAGAACACCATCTATAGACACTACACCAAGAACAGCAAGCAGATCCACTGGTTCTGGCAGGTGCGGACACACTGTGGTTCAGTTAGACGTTACAGAAGCCTGGATCTAAACACATACACGTCTCCTGTGATAAAGTATATGCATTACAACATATTTTGGCGCTGATGTGAGTGTGTCCAGTGAGTAACGGAGTTGTGTTCCTGCAGGTGGTGAAAGAGATGGACAACGAGAAGAGAATCCGTCTGCTTCAGTTTGTAACGGGAACCTGTCGGCTGCCTGTCGGAGGCTTCGCTGAGCTCATAGGTACACAACACTGATTCACACAGTGTCACAACCATGAATGGCTAAGTGTCATTTTCCTTTAGAAAGGGTTGTGACATAAGGATATTTGGTGTAAGTGATGATGTCTATCCACTGTGTATTTGTTGAGATTCCATTTTTCCGGGGATTCTATGGAGAAATCGTATACATCATTTTAGGTTGTTTTTCCACAGGATGGCATTGTTCTTTATGGCACACTGGTGAGTGTGAAACCACTCTGCTGCTCTCACTTTCTCTTCTCTAACAGAAATCATCAGTGTTGAGCTACTGTGAGTGCAGTTCACCACCTCCGGCAGATTTTTTTTACATTAATGGTATCCCAGCCTTTCCTACAGGCTTTTATTGTGGAAAAACCTACTGGACATTTCATTAACAGCAGCTTTCTGATTCCAGCTTCTTAACTGTGAATATTTTGTGGTTTCTTTCCTCCTCTATGACACTAAACTGAATGTCTTGGGGTTGTGGACAAAACAAGACATTTGAGGACGTCATATTGGGCTTTGGGAAACACTGATATACATTTTTCACGGTTTTGTAACTTTTCTTGGCCAAACAATCAATCAAGAAAATATTTAACCGTGAAAATAATCGTAGTTGCAGCCCTAATATTTGATGAAGTTATTCTTTCTTCCCATGCAGGAAGTAACGGTCCCCAGAAGTTCTGCATAGACAAGGTGGGGAAGGAGACTTGGCTTCCAAGAAGCCACACATGGTGAGCTGATGCCTTATCTGTTAACATGGGAAACATGTAGCAAGATAATCTAAGCTCAGAGGTTTACTGACCGAAGACTGCAGTGGGAAGGGAAGATGATGCGATTAAAAGCTCCAAAAAGATAGCAAGTGCATCTTTAAGCTTAGATCATTTTGTACTGGATTACATGCAGCTGCATTGTTTCTAGTGAATCCCTCTTGTATAGGTAGGCCATTTAATGGTCCAATGTGCAGTATTAGCAGGACATATTGGCAGAAATAGAATACAAAATTCATAACTATGTTTTTACTAGTGTATAATCACCTGAAAATAAGAATCATTGTGTTTTGATTACCTTAGAATGAGCCTTTTTTATCGACATACAGAGCAGGTCCTCCTCCATGGAGTCTGCCAGGTTGTTTCTACGGAAGCCCAGAACAGACAAACCAAACACTGGCTCTAGATAGGGCCATTTGCATTTTTGCACCAACCAAAGTACTTCCTCTACACCCATGGAATACGGGAGAAGTTTCATTTGGTTGCAATCTGTAGCTTCACCACTAGAAGCCACTAAATCCTACACACTGGACCTTCAAACCAGAGCTGGAATGGCGGACTCCGCCACTAAAAATGAAGCTACTACATGGGGAGGTAATTATTGTAAATACAGTGACAGGCCAATGTTTGAAAAACTGGTTTAATTTAATTAAATCTTGAGGATTATAACTTTAAACCCATGGTGATTAAAGAAGTAAAGATTAAAATGCATTTATTCACTACACTTGTGTGGAGTCTGATCACAGTGAGGGAGTGTTTGGGAGCTCCCTTCGTATCAGGCAGAGATGGGACCAAGTCACACGTGCAAGTCTCAAGTAAGTCTCAAGTCTTAACCTTCAAGTCTCAAGTAAGTCCCAAGTCATTTTTTCTTGGGCAAGTCAAGTCAAGTCACAGGTCATGTCAAGTCAAGTCCAAGTCAAGTCACCTTATTATTGCAATTTTACCTGCAGCATCTGATCTTAATAAAGTGAAAAGACAAGATATAAGTAACTGTCAGTAAACATTGACTTCATCGCTGCAGTGTTTACTTTGCAGGGACGACCCCCATGCGTGCGCGCGCGCGCGCACACACACACACACACACACACACACACACACACACACTAACCAAGGCAGCGGCCAAAATCACCCATTTAGCTCATTTAACCCTGTGTTGCTCGTTCATAAAACGTACAGCCGGTCTTGTGATGAACCGGTCGGAATGTTCGCTCACGTTTTCTGGGGTTGTTTAAAAAACAAGTTCCACCAAACCGACCCCCCCACCCCACCCCACCCCCGTATCGTATCAAGCTAACGTTAGCTAACTACCGACTATCCAGATAATATTAGCAAATTGACAAGCACTTACTGGACAGAATGGCTCTTCAAATGACGAACAAAGTTTGAAGTTGTCGCCTGGCTGTCCGAGATGTTTATGCCGCATGTCTTGCACTGTGCTGTTCGTCTTTTGCCGTAATAATGGTAATTCCGAAAGCCGAAGACAATGACTCTCGGTACCCCTCCCGCTGACATGTTGATGCCTATCTGATATAAGAGGGCCTGTTTCTCCAATAAACACGTAAGGTACGTAGAGAGGGAATGACTGATTGACAGGGTAGTGATCCAATCATGACAACGCCATTCTCAGCCTGCGCTCCTATCGGGTAATCGACATTATTTTTTAAATTAATTTATTCATTTTATATTCTAACCAAAAACATGATGTGAATAACACTCAAGTCATTCAAGTCATCGTGTCTCAAGTCAAGTCAAGTCTCGAGTCTTTGACTTCCAAGTCCGAGTCAAGTCTCAAGTCTTTTATTTTTTGTCAGGTCAAGTCACAAGTCATCAAAACAGCGACTCGAGTCCCCATCTCTGGTATCAGGTCACTTTTTGTGTAGGATTGTGAGACAGCAGAGACGTCCAGAGTTCAGACAGAATCAAAGTGCTTGGTATCAGTCATGAAAAGTGAACCCTGACAGGAACATACCTGCTAATGTCAAACCAATATCCTGAACAACCCAGTATCCCCAACACTGCTGTGCTGTGTCTGAGTCAGGCCTGTTGCCAGACAGACCTGTGGTTATTCCACTCTGTGAATCCACAAAGAGGAATGACTAATAGTGACCTGCCTGTCTCCTCCTGTTTGTCTCTTCCTCACAGCTTCAACCGTCTGGACCTGCCGCCCTACAGAAGCCTGGAGCAGCTCCGAGAGAAACTCCTGTTCGCCATTGAGGAGACGGAGGGATTTGGACAGGAGTGATGCAGGAAACGGATGCGAGACAGCTAAAAGAGAACACTTAATTCAATGGGATAGTTTTTTGTTATTAATATATATAATTTTGCATTTGTTAATCACAGGGCTGAGAAATCACCTGTCATCTTTAGCCCCTCACCTGGAGGGGATCATGTTTGTGAACTGAATCATGGCATAAAGGCGGAGCTGGGAGATGGAGACACAAGAACATAGAGGAAAAGTGTGAATGCTTTCTTGTGTGTATGTGTGTGGTTGCTCACATTAATGCCATTGTGTATATGCATATAAATGGTGTGTATGTCTACGTGGGTTGGACAGGATGGCACATACAGAGAATTATATTTGACTAGAGTCTCACCCCCACATATACACCTACTCACTGCTTAGAAACGCACCGAACCCAGACAACAGGATAGTTTTAATGTCAGCAGCGACTCACAACAGCACAGCTACCCGCAAAATGCAGTATAACATATCTACCAGAGAGAAATACATTTTTTAACATTTTAAGGTGATGAAAGAGAGAGAGAGAGCTGGAGAGTGTGAGAGACATAGAGGCAGCGTGTGAGTGCATGTGTGTGTCCATATACGAGAGACAGAGAGCTGTTATCATGACCTAGTGCGCCTCTGTTACAGAGGCTAGAGAGATGAGATGTGATCTTATTTTTTATTTTTCTGTTACTTGTGAAATTCAGCATTTTTCTTCTGTACATAACTAAAATAAATGAGATTTCAATCTTGAGCTGTACTGATGCTTTCTTTAAAGAGACAGTTTGATATGATATATACAGGGTTTGTATAAAACAGAATAAGGTGTGCCATCTGAACTCTGATGGAGTTCATCCACCAAAAGAGCGAAAAACAAAGCATAGGCAAAAGAATGACCTCACAAAATGTTTATTGTTAATGTCATACTATCATCAGAATCAGAAATACTTTATTGATCCCTGTGGGGACATTGTGGTTCGTTACAGTTGCTCTGATAACAAGTACAGAGAATTATAGAAGTAGAAATAGGACATTGTGCAATATTCTACAAAGTTAACATTTGTATGTAAAATATAAAATATGTTTAATGTGCTGAGGATGTAAAGTGTGTAAAAAAAATGCAACTTATGCCACAATACAATGTATAAAACTAGTATGTAAAGTTAGAAATATAAAATATGTGTATAATGCGACAATGTACAACACAGTATATACACACGGAATAAGAATAAAATGTGCAACATGTAAAATATGCATTCAGGAGTAGTAAGAAAAGGAAGGATGTTGCACAGTTGAATCATTGCACAGAATATTGCTGTAGTTTAATTATTGCATCAGTTATTGCACAGTTAAGCCAGGCTCAACAGAATGAATATGTAGTTGGTGTGAGTGCAATGAGCAGTAATCACAACCCCATTCATTCCCATTACATTTTCAATTTACACCCTCTGCAACCCAACTGTGAAGGGGGATCTGAGTGAAATCCCCAACCCCCTCCCCCCTCAGCATACACAGTTACATTGGATGAATTCTGGTCAACAAAGGATAATTTGTAGAATTTGAATATGATAGATTGAGAGTCTGGTTTGGAGGATTTATATCCTATACCAGAAAATTTTCAGTAACTTTTCAATAAATATAAATAAGTGTATTTTTAGAAACTTCACTAAACTGACCTTTTAAGAGCATTTTAAAACATCTTAATCGAAGTTAAGGGGTTCTCAAAGTTCTCATAACTCAGTGTCATTTTGAAAGGCAGCTCTGAGACTAAGGTACAGTTGAACTTTGAGCTAAATGCTAATGTAAGCATACTAAAATTCTCACAATGACAATGTAACGACAGGACAGCGGTAAGAGGAAAGGAGGGGGGCTGGCTGTGTTTGTGAATGACAGATGGTGTAACTCTGGGCACATCATTATCAAGGAACAGCATTGCTGCAGGGACATTGAGCTGCTTGTCCTTCACTACCTGTCAGGTGAGAGATCAGCTGAGGAGGATAAAGACGAGGAAGGCTGCGGGTCCAGATGGCATCAGCTCCAGGCTCCTGAAGTCCTGCGCAGACCAACTGTGCGGGATAGTTGAAACCATCTTCAGCCTGAGCCTGAGGCTGGGGAGAGTAGCACAGCTGTGGAAGACATCCTGCGTGGTACCTGTGCCCAAGACTCTGCATCCCAAGGACTTCAGCAGCTTCAGACTGGTGGCATTAACATCACACCTCATGAAGACTCTGGAGCGCCTGGTCCTGTCTCATCTCCGCCCTGCAGTAGGCCCTTCAATGGACCCGCTACAGTTTGCCTACCAGCCTGGCATTGGGGTGGACGACGCCGTCATCTTCCTCCTGCATAGAGCTCTTTCTCTCCTGGAGAAGCCTGGAAGCTCTGTGAGAATCACGTTCTTTGATTTCTCCAGCGCTTTCAACACCATACAGCCTGCGCTTCTGAGGGACAAACTGGAGCACATAGGGGTGGCTAATCACCTCACATCCTGGATCCTGGACTACTTCACGGACCGGCCGCAGTATGGCAGGACCCAGGATTGTGTATCGGACTTGGTTGTCTGCAGGACGGGGGCCCCGCAGGGGACAGTGCTGGCACCGTTCCTCTTCACCCTCTACACTGCAGACTTTTCATACCACACCCCCACCTGTCATCTGCAGAAGTTCTCTGACGACTCTGCCATCGTCGGCCTCATCACAGATGGGGATGACAGGGAGTACAGAGAACTGAACCAGGACTTTGTTGACTGGTGCCTGAGGAACCACCTTCAGATCAACGCTGGGAAAACCAAAGAGCTGATGGTGGATTTCCGCAGGCGCAGACTCCTCCCCCCAACACCGGTGAACATCCAGGGAAAGGACATTGAGATGGTGACATGTTATAAGTACCTGGGTGTTCATCTTAACAATAAACTGGACTGGACAGATCACATAACAGCACTGTACAGGAAAGGCCAAAGCAGACTCTACCTGCTGAGGCGGCTCAGGTCTTTTGGAGTGCAGGGGGCGCTCCTGAAGACCTTCTTTGACACTGTGGTGGCATCAGCCATCTTTTACGGAGTGGTCTGCTGGGGCAGCAGCATCTCGGCTACAGAAAGGAAGAGACTGGACAAGCTGATCAAGAAGGCCAGCTCTGTCCTGGGATGCTCTCTGGACTCTGTGCAGGTAGTGGGAGAAAGGAGGATGACAGCCAAGCCGTCATCTCTGAGGACTAATAACTCCCATCCTCTGCAGGAGGAGATAAAAACTCTGGAGAGCTTCTTCAGCGATAGACTGATTCACCCAAAGTGTGTGAAGGAACGCTATCGCAGGTCCTTCCTGCCTGCTGCTGTCAGACTACTAACCAGCACTGCTGATAATCAGCTGCACCATGGACACTTTAGGGACACTTTATGGACACCACAGCTGTCTGCTGTTTTGCACATACAGTCACTTGCACTAGATGTGCTCCCTTTATCCACTGCTCATTTTTTGCTAATTTTCATTCACTGCTGCTCATTATTATCCACTTCCTATTATTTTCATTATTATTATTATTATTATTATTATTATTATTATCATTATTATTATTGTTATTGTTATTTATTGCCATCTCTTGTATTTCTGTACTTATTTGCATGCCTAGTTATTTAAGTTTTTTAAGTTTAATTTTGAAATCTTTAATCTGACTCTTTCCCCTTGACTGCTGTAACACTGGAATTTCTCAATTATGGGATCAATAAAGGTCTATCTTATCTTATCTTATCTTATCTTATCTTAAACATGACGTGAACAGCACACTGTATTCCAAATCTGTTAAGAGTGAATAGGTTCAGTGTGGAATTGAGACATAGAGTTGTAGAGTAGATTATAGGATAGATTTGGTTTCAGTGAAGCTATCTTTGCATTCATGCTGCATTGTTATTGATCCATAAATAGATTTTTTTTAGCCCCTGAAAATTTGGTTTCAAAGCTCAAGCATTTCCCTTAACATGGAATATTCACTATTAAACATGCATCAAATAAAGTCTGGAGAATTAAACATTAGGTTTTATTTATTTAGAATTTAAGCAACTATGTATTGTATTTGAGCATCATTTTGGAGAGACTTTCATAGTTGCCACACATTTAACCTGCCTTTGAGCACCACAAGCTGAGTGCTATCGTTCCATTATATTTGAGAGAAGGCAGACATCTCTACGGCTGATATCTCCAACACTCGGCAACTCACACCAAAACAATCTAACTTAATAAATAGCGCGACAGGTTAGAGGAAAAATTTATGTTTTTTATTTTGGGGTGAACTGTTCCTTTAACTGGAATAATCTGAATCTAAAGACCCAGATCTAGCTGAGCATTTGTGTGTCAGATACAGTTGAACTGAACAGAAATGCAGGATGGATGGTTGAAAATGTTAAAACATTCCTTAATAAATAATGTCTACTTAACTTATCATATGCTGAGTATAAATAGCGGTGGCTCCCAGCCTGGGGGTTTGGCCCCATGCAGGGGGTCCCAGGATTAATCTGAGGGATCACAAGAAATCTTCTATTCAAAATTATCTGGGTTTCTAAAAATGCTTTAATTAAAACAATCCAAGAAAGAAAAGTCAATCTTTGTTTGAGCTGCTCACAACTCATGTCCACACTGTGGCTATAACCTGTGATGAGGGGTCTCAAGTACACACTGATTTATTTTGAGGGTCAGATCAAAAAAGTTGAGAAGCAATGACACAGTGTGAAATAGAGGAGATTTGCTCAACTCATGACTACATAATTGCATGGAGTAAAAAAAAAAACAAGTTCTTCCGTGTGCTACTGTTGTACATTACTTAAATAACTGACTTCTTTCACAGCCTTTCTGTTGCAGTTGTACATGATCTGCATCTTTCTGCCTCATTTATAGACAATTGTTTACAGACAATAGAGTTTTAAATCTTGATCTTAAAAGAATTATAAAGCTGATCTGAGGAATGTTGACGTGTGTTTTTCCGCTGCCTTTGGAACGACAAGCTAATAATGGGTTCGTAGTCGAATCGGTCACACTGGTAAGCACTGATAGAAGGGGAATGATCGTAACATGGATAAAGCTGTGCCAAAACCAGCAGCTTTTTCCACACATCTGGGCAGGTTTTGTGGTTTGGCCGGCAGGATCGCAGTAATTGAAAATGTAGATTTGGATGTGACCATACAAACAAACTTTTCGTGTATCTCCACTGTTAGTCTCCCATTGGCTGTCCAGTTTACAGCTTCAGGCATAACGGTGGAGTCACAGATTACAGTCTCTGAACTTGAATGCATCTGGGAGGTTCAGTGACTTTGAGCAAAGACGACAGATGTGCCTAGTCACTAACTCTGTGAAGTGGAATCATTATTCTCTCTTCTTTAAATCTGCCGTAAAAAAAGATGGAACAACCTATGGAATATTTAGTGTCTATCACATTTTTATTATTACTTTAATGCCACAAGGTGAATATTTTCTAACTGTGAGAATGCACACACAGTGAGGTGCAGATAAGCGTCTGAAAGTGTATACCTGTGGCTCCATGAACCAGATGGTGTTCTCCCTCACCAGCAGCTCTCTAATAAGGCAGTCTCCTCCATCGCCATACAGAGTGTAAGCAGAGCACAGGGGGATCCTGAAGTGTGGGGAATACAGAGAAGCAAAGAGGTCCCTCCACATGAACCTCTGACAGATGGGGACCGCGTTGGGATCTGCCTCTTTGGCCAGCGTTGGCTCAGTGTAGAAGAAATGACGACTGGAGCAAAATCTGTTTCCACGTTTTCCTTTTGCGTAAGAGATGCAAGTGAATTGAATGAACACAAAGAGGCTCAGTGTTCTCGTGCTGGCCGTTACAGCAGAGGCTGCAGCCAAACAGCAGCACTGCTGTGTTTGCAAAACGCTGTGACAAATTTGACCAAAGGGAATCAGTGTGTGCCAGTCAGTGTTTGACCTGCATGTTTGGGACTGCATATCAAGGAGAGATGGTCAGGTTAGAGCAAGCATCACATGACCTGAGGTGAACCCTTAGTGATACCCACACATCTGTTAGCTTTTCTTCATCTGCTACAATGCTGCTATTTGATTTGTTGAACAAACACAACAAAAACAGACACTCAGTAATCATTCTGCTCCCCCATTTGGTAGAGCACATCAGTCACTATATCTTAATGAAAAATGTGCTGAACTTGACTCAACCTGATTGAGCTATCTCTACCATTCGGTTTAGGTGTATTTCGCTAAAAAAGATCCACTAGATGTCACTGTGTCTTTAAATAGTCTGCCTTTTCAGTTCACCTGCTGCAGGAAGTTAATAACAAATAAAATCCTTCCAGACATGAGGGCTCTGTGTGGTGGGATTTTCAAAGGTGGGCGTGTTTTTTCAACATGTTATAATTTCAGAGGTCTAACTGAACACATTTATGTAACTTTAGACAAAATAAAAGTCTAATAAAGGTCAAATAATTTTTTTAAAGCATGTTCTAAAACAGTTCATTTGTCCTTTTATGGCAAAGGTAGTGAAGCTAAGGTAGTGTAATTAAAACTGCCTATTTGCTATGAAAAAATTATTCTGATCATTCATTGTTGCTAAATGGTACTATATTTAATGTTACCCATTATGTATATGCTGAAACAGTTTCATAAGTATGATTTTTTAATGTCTAAAGCCATGCTTAAGAAAATGGTTGAATTTGCCGTTTATGTAGTGATGCTAAGATAATGAATATACATATTTCATAAAATAAAAAAGATGAATATTCCCTGTTGTTAATGCCATAAATTTAATGTGGTTCCATTATATATTTGATGAAAAAAATCAATAGGATTTTTTTTTTACCATTTCTGAGATGTTTTCAAAGCACTGTAATGATAAATATCCAGAATAAATATGTGGAAATAGTGCTAGTACTAGTAATAATACTAATTCCATGGTAACACACTGATGTATGATGGTATATTAACAAATTACTAGCATTATAACAATATATGGTTTGCAATTTTGATTTTTTTTTCTTTCTGTAAGAATACCATGAAGTGACTCCTCAGCTGTTTGAAAGAGGCCTATATTTAAAAAATCTATGGGGTCTGTTAGTTATTTTTGGCCCAAGGAAATAAAAAAATGCAAAGAAAAATGTTCTCTATTGATTTTTACTTAGTGTGGACCTTAAAGGAATATTCAAATATACACATTCATTTCTGGTGGGACATTGTAGTTAAAATGAATGAAAAACCTCTTACATAATGAAGTCTGAATCTGTCAGGACAGTAACTAAAGTATAAAAAGTATTTCTATTTGTTTTCATGAAAAGACGCGCAGGGTAGAAGAAAGTACAAACATTTCGGACAAATGAACAGATGCGTGTGTGTCTGTAGAGCTAAATATAACATGTCAGAAGAAATCCACAAGTCAGGTAACATTTCACAGGTGACAGAGTCTGTGGCTGAGTATATGTAGAAGTAAACACTGCTGCTACAGCTACTATTACTCCTCTTAATATTAATAACAAACTGCTACCACCATCAATTGTATTACTTATACTGATTGTGTAGAATATCTCAGTTAACTCAAATACTGTACCTAAGAACAATTTTGAGTTGAGACTCTACTGCTTGTGTTCCCATTTTATTCTGCGGCAATATTTCAGGTGAAAATGTCTTAGTTTCTGCTGCACTCCATTTCTTAGGCAGCTACTATGCTTATTAAGGTTTTAGATACAAAACATGAGGTAAGTGTTTAAAACATGATGCACTATCATGGACTACAGCAACCAACGGTATATAAAGTGGTTACAATTAGGTCTATGTAATATAAAATCAATACAATACTAATACAACATAAATATCCCTTTGAGGACAGTATTTTTCTGCCTAATGACCAATTTAATTATCAGAGGTGTGAACTCCAGTCACCTGACCGGTACTCGAGTCAGACACAAATTTGATGACTTTAGAATTGACTTGACAAAATCAAAGTAGACTTGCAAGTGGACTTGACCTTTAACACCAGTGACTCGTGACTTCACTCAGACTTGAGCCTTTTGACTTGAAAATACCTGATACCTTCCAGACTCACTTTGTTTGAACCAGTCTGACAACATCCAGTCAAGTTGCAAGAGCAAATCAGGTAGAACTACCATTGTGTTATGGAGCACCCGTTGGGAAAAATAAAATATCCTAAAGATAATTTAGAAACAAACAAACAAACAAAAAACAACAACACAGTGGTCAACAAAAAATATGCAAAACGTGTGGGAAACTTACAGATGGAGTTGCGACAACTTCCAACAAACTTTCTTTTTAAAAAATAAGTACCTGAATTTAATACATTATTACAGTGTTCTTAAAATGGCATAGAATTTGGTGAAGAGCACATAATGACTTGTTTAGGGACAAAGTTTAGGACTTGGGACTTGTCTTGGGATTTGTCAGTGCTGACTTAGGACTTGACTTGGGACTTGAATTAGGACTTGAATCACAAAGACTTGAGACTTACTTGTGACTTGCTAAACAATGACTTGGTCCAAACTGTGTTAAGTATAAAAGTGTGAATACAGTTTACAGTATTAGGCTATTATCATACACATGTACTGTGGTATTGCTATTCTTCTTCTTCTTCTTCTTTCTTTCTTTCTTTAAGGTGTTTTCTTACATTTTAATGTATTCTATTATTTAAAATACTCATACAGTCATTGTTTTTATGTGCTTTGTGTCTTTATGTTTGTACCTTTTAATGGTTTAATGAACTAATATAATACCTGCTATACGTTCCTATACTGCGAGGACACAACTAATGTGCTCCTGGTAGTTATAATATTAATTATTAATTTCGAGATTAGATTGTCTAGAAGATTTTCGGTTCTTCATAAAGTAAAGACTTTTATTGTGAAAGGACAGCCATCTTGGCTCGGCCCGGAAGTAACGTGTTCGTTATCTCGAGGTTCCTCCAAGCAGCAGCATTTTTGGCGGAACCTGGTCGAAATACTGTTCATATACTGTTCATATGATATTGTGAATGATAAATTACCTTTACCATTTACTAAGTTCACATCTGTAATGCCCGACTGCCTTCATTTAAACGTCCCTGTCCGGTTTAACATGGTGAACGCGGATGAAATCGCCAAGTTGTGCTACGAGCGTTTCAACCAGCTGCCCCGGAGAGGGAAGCCTGAGCCGGGCAGAGAGTGGACCCTGCTGGCCGCTGTGGTCAAAGTCACCCGGTGTGCTAACTCTGACACAGGTTGGACAGCCGAATGACCTACAACATGTGTTTCAACACATTTCACCTTCTCTTTATGTCAACAATGCTCAGTAACTGCACAGAGACCAGCTGTTTTCTAAACGTTACGCTGTTTGATATCGTCTTTCGTTCACCGTATCGTTATCATACTGTTAGCTAACGTTAATGTTTAACGTTACTGGTAAAAATCTGCACGTAAGATGGGTGACAGTGAGCTAATGTTACACTTGATTACAGTAAATGGAGCAGCAGCAGTGTCTGTTTAAACTTCAAGAGTGAAGAGAACACAGTCCAAATCACTCTGCACAGGGCAAACTTTAAAAGTTATTAAATAAAGCACTGTGAAATGCCCAGGTGTGTGAAATGTGCTACAGTTAAAGCTGCCTTGCCACAATTTTTTTTTAAAGAAGAAAATGAATTTTATGAGTATATGTAGGCAATGCAAAGTAGTAGCTCAACAGCAAAACAAATTAAAGAAACATAAAATAGGGCATGATATTGTGTAGAATAAGAAAAATGTAAAAGTACTAAGACAAGATATGTGATAAATTATTCTCTAATCATTTTTTTTTTCTTTCACAGTTAAGAGGGAGGTTGTTTCTCTGGGAACTGGGACTAAATGTATTGGACGGACAGCGATGAGTCCCAATGGTTTGTGGTTTTGATAACTGGTGTTTTAGGTCTTCTGAATGGGTCTCTGTCTTCCACACAGGTTTTAATTGCCAGCCCATCCAAATAGATTTGCAACCACACAAAATACTTATCGTTCCATTAGTCTGTGTATAGTTCACAGTAAAAACTGATTTAAACGTCCACAGAAATGGCGCATTTATGTCATATTGAAAAAATATCCTCCCTAGACCAATGTTTGTCTTTGAATACAATGATGTTTTGCAGTCCTGTTTTTGGACTTAAGATTACAAATAAACAAATCCTTCTCAGCTTGTGGAACACACTGACATTCATGTTAGCTTGTAAAAGTGCAATATACATAATAATCGTTAAAATATTTGTCTTCATTTTTAAAAAACAGCCTTTAGATCAACTTTTTTTTTATCCTCTCATCCATTCAGGTGATGTTCTTAATGACAGCCATGCAGAAGTCATTGCTAGAAGGGGATGCATCAGGTGTGTATTTGTTGTAAATTTTCCGATCCTAATATCTTGTTGGCTCTGGTGCTCCACGCTGACACTTGAGTGTACACGAAATATATACATAAGCTGTTACCATGTTGTGTGTGTGTGTGTGTGTGTGTGTGTGTGTGTGTGTGTGTGTATTTGTAGGTACCTGATCCAGGAGCTGCACAGGGCTGTGAGTGGTGGGGACAGCTCTGTGTTATGTAAGGCAGATCAGTGGGGGAAGTGGAGGCTTCAGCCAGGAGTTTCCTTTCTCTTCTTTACCAGTCACACTCCCTGTGAGTCCAGTATGCTCCCAGAATATCTAACTGGGTGGCTGTGTAACAGAATTCATGTAACATGGCCACCAAAAAGTTATGTTAGATGATCCACAGGATTCAAATCGAGCTATATATTTTGTCATATATTTTTTAATCTGTTGCAATTTAGATATATTTTTGTAAGGCTCTGAAGTAATGTGCGTTCTTTCCATGATTTATTGAGCTAAAAAAAGAGTCTCCCCGTGTTGGTAAAAATGCTGTGTCAGGGCCTTTAACTTTGTCAGACAGCTTTACTTCAAAATATCAACCTTCACAAAACAATAACTGAACTCATGCCAGTGATTTGTCCAGGAAACCCAAATCAGTCCAAAACTTCTTGTGTATTTTCAGGTGGTGATGCCGCCATCATCCCTATGGCTGACAGCCAGTCTCAGCCCTGCCCTCCTGTCACATCTGTAAAAAACCATGAAGGGACCGACGGAAGAGGAAACCTGAAAAGGAAAGATGAGGAACCAAGTGAAGGGAAAAACATTAAACGGCCCCGTCTGGAGGAACAGGAGACAGTGGAGACAAAGCTAGAGGACAGAGGAGACACAAAACAACCCTTCCTTTCAAATTCATCTCAAAGTGAAGATCCATCACAGAGTAACTCTGCAGACACACCTGTGGAAACTGTCTCACAAGATTCAGCCCAGCTGACAACAAAAACCAGAGACCCTGACTCTGACAGGGCTGGACTGCATCCACAGGTCTCAGACATTCACAGAACTGGAGCCAAGTGTGTCTCGGGTGCCCCAGCCGACCCTCTGCACCCTGGGGTGGGATACCATAGCACAGGGGTTCTCCGGGTGAAGCCTGGACGAGGAGAGCCGACTCTGTCCCTCTCCTGCAGTGACAAGCTGGCCCGCTGGGGAGTGCTGGGCTTCCAGGGTGCACTGCTGTCCCACTACCTTCAGGAGGCGCTCTACTTCAGCACGGTGGTGGTGGGGAAGTGTCCATACAACCAAGAAGTTATGCAGAGAGCTTTGGTCACAAGGTAAGAAGCAATGCTGACACAATAAGCCAATCAATATACATCATTAGTTTGTTATTAATAAACATCAAATAAATCAAGTCATTTCGGGCTTGGAGAAATTATCATGATTGTTTGTCTTTATTATCTGACGTAGACAAACGATTAATCACTGTCAAAGTTTAACTTTTAATTGGATACTTGTGAGAATTCACAGAAAGAGCCTTTTTTAGCTCATCTTGTTAGCTTTGTAAATAACATCTAAAATATCAGAAACAACAGTCAAGAGTTGTTGTTTTTTTTTTTTAAATTTACCAGGTAAAAGTCTTGTTGAGATCAACATCATCACGAGGAGCAGAGCGACAAGTTCTAAGCTCATGAAAAAGAATATTCTCTCATGACCCCATTTTTGAAGTTGCATGGATTATTTTTATTTTTTTTTTTACCACTGGTGAGCAGTAGTAAAAGCTGCAGCATTTTACATCCCTTATTAAATTGAATCTGTGGGCAAACAGTTGCTAATCCAGCAGACATGAAGCAACATTAATATTTATTCAATTATTGAATATAAATCCAACATCCACTGTCCTTTTAATCTCTGTTTTAGTCTCCACCAACTCCTGGGAAGAATATCTGTCTCCCTACTGCTAAATGGTTCACTTCCTTCATTAGTTAGTTGCTAACTTTGCTGTTTGGTGCTGGATGGATGTGTAGTGTTTTTTGTTCGAAACAGCTACTTTTTGTGGCTGGAAACAAAGTAAATGAGAAAAGAATTTGCTGAGCAGAAACAAAACAATGTGCTAAATGGTGGTGATAAAAAAAAGACCTGTAGCCGAGGGGAGCTTCAGCGTCAGGAGATGGTTCTCTGTTGGCTTTCACATTACACATCTGACCCATTATTCATAACACACTTAACAAAAATTTAAACGCAACACTTTTGTTTTTTCTCTCATTTTCATGAGTTTACATTGAAGATTTAAGGATTTTTGTGCACACACAAGACTCATCTCTCTGGTCACGAATTTGTTAAAAATCAATGTTAATGAGCTCTTCTCCTCTTCTTTAGTTAAAAGGAGGATAAAAATGTACCTGTTGTCATTCAGGGTTTATCATGTTTTTAAATCAAATTAGTCAGATTTACAGATGCTGGATATTCACGCTGTTACCAGCTTTAAAACCTCACCATGTAATAAGCAGTCCCCTGTTCTTCCTCAGGTGCTCCCGTGTATTGGACCTCCCCGCTGGTTTCTCTGTGTGTCCACCTCTCCTGCTCCAGTCTGGCCTGGAGTTCCCCTTCAGCCAGGCCCAGACCGAGCTCCGACACCAGGCTGGACAGGGACGAATCTCCCCCTGTGGAGCAGGTGGGGGCGTCACTCACACATTTTGGTCTAAATGATCAAAAGGAAGCCTTAATGTCACATTCATGTCATTACAGTTAGTTACAGTTATTTCTAGATTCCAACTTGTCAACAAAATCCCTCTACAGACAGGCATATAAACACATCATTTTAAGGGTTGTGTCGACACATTTCATGTAAAAATTGACATTATTAAATCATTATTATATATACAGTACAAAAATATTTAGGATTATATTTTTGAATCAGCCTTCCTCAGTGACCAGAGAAAGAGCAGATGCTCTCAGCTGTGCAACTAAAGATTTTTGCCTTCTATGTGAACCCTACTTCATCTGGTACAGTGTTTGCCCCATATCGGCTCAGTCCTTTGCAGCAGCCATGGTTTAATTTCGACCTGTGGCCCTTTGCTCCATGTCATCCCCTCTCTCTATCTCCCACTGTGTCAATCTGCAGCTGTCCTATTAATAAAGGCAAAACTGCACATAAATAATCATAAAAAAGATCTTTGGCTTCCAGACAAATTTGATTGAGGGCCAAACATTTGTTTGATATGCATGGTAAAGCTATATAGCTATGTAGCTATGGTATATGTAGATGATCATTACAGAGCTTCAGTTGGTCAACAATGACTGGTCCCAGAACGCTCCCAGTAGAGTCAACAAGGGGCAAATTCCTACCACATCAGTCATAAGACCATCAAGGGAGAAAAAATATTCAGATTGAGATTTTTAGGAGTTCACTCACTGTTTGAAGTTTTGTTGAGTCTCACTTAAAACAATCTCCATATATTTCAGCCATCAGTTGGTGTAATGTGGCTGAACAGCCACTAGATGTCACTGCCAACGGCTACAAACACGGAGTCACCAAGAAGGCCTTCGGCACAGCTAAAGTCAGGTAGATCCAACACTCTCTCACACTATCATATGTTATTATGACGTAAATGAGAAGCCTCTGATTTTTATCACTATAGACTTTTTATTTAGACCAAATGTCAGTTATATTAATTCACGTTTGTGTCTTCAGGTCTCTTCTGTGTAAAGTGGAGCTTTTTCATTCATTCCTGTCTCTGGTAGCAGCCACTGACCCCTCAGCACTTCCCGACTCCCTCAGGTAACAAACAATAGGCTCTTTCATAATCTGACTGTGGTTTTAAACAGCCTTAAACTAAATCTGAGCAACACGAATCACTAATGAAGATCTCCAAACGATGGTCTGGCTTTCATCAGTTTGTCTGTTTGGGAAACTCTCATCTCATCTGCTGCTGAAGCATGTCGAATCGATAGGGAGGCAAACTACCAACAGCAATAAGAAAATGTTTATGTGTCACAGTCATCACAAGTAACAGCAGCAGGGTTTGAAGGAGTTGTACAATCACAGCAAGTCACAGTACAATCTGGATAACAGATAAGTGAACACTGAGTGATGCTTTATTTCATAATGAACACTGAGACCAGTGAGTCAGTGCTGCTGTTACTGTGTGTGACTTTCTTGTGCTTTTGTTTACAGCTCATGATTTATTAGTATTTATTTTTTTGTAGTTGGGCTCATATTGTCCTTGGTATTTCTTTCCAAATGGTGTCACATAGCTTGCTTGAAATTACACAACAAATTGTGTCTGTGTGTGTGTGTGTGTGTGTGTGTGTGTGTGCATATTTGTGTGTGGTGTGGCTCTCACTGTGTGTGTCTTTGTATGTGACATTAAGCACTCACATTTTATCTGTTAGTCCCAGCGTGTGCATCTGGGCTTGTTCACATGCTTCGTGTGTATGTGTGTGCGTGCACTGATAGCTGAGAATCCTCTCTAAAGGGAGAACAGTGGTCTCTCTGTTTATCAGCATTTTAGCAGATAACCTGATCCTGGCCCAGTCCAGCCGGGCCTACACATGGATGCACACACACTCATACACACTCATTCACCCAGCCCCAGCAATGACAACATTTTCTACAACAGCAATGGTATGTCTTGGGAGAGACAGCTGAGGTCAGGGAGTGGCCATTTGTCTGCATTTATAGTGTTTTGCTTTGGACGGGACATTAATTATTAAATTTAGCAGTCGGACACTTGCGATCCAAACTGTCCACTTTATCTGCACAATATTTTGTTCGGAATGCAGGGACTCAAGTAACCTGATTGTGCTAATACACTTTTAACAGTTGGTCTTTTTACAGCAGACATTTTGAGCCTGTTTACACTTGGTTGTAAAATGTGTTTTGGTAATATGAAACAAATGGACAGCTGAGACACATTGCTTTTCACATGTGCCATGTGTCTATCATACATCTCCAGCTGACCATGTGTGTTCAGATTTTATTACTGCCTAAGTCACTTACGCTAGAAGATCAAAGGGCCTTGTGCACATTTATCTCGTCCTCTCTCACTAGCATGCTCACTAGCCATGTTAGTGGTTGTGTCGGTACAGCCAGAAAAATCGTTTGTCTGCAGAATTCAACACGTCTCCTTCCTTCCTTAGGGAGAAATAAGGGACTGTCACGCAACACTGTCCAACTTGATGTAGAATGGGCACGTTATAGACCATTAGTGTGCTGTCACCAAAACAGCCACCAAGTCCTGCATTGATGACGTAGTCCATGTCAGGATGCTTTAGCGTTCACGCTAAAAAGATATGTGGTTGGGGCGTCGGTGGCTTAGTGGTAGAGCAGGCGCCCCATGTACAAGGCTGTTGCCGCAGCGGCCCGGGTTCGAATCCAGCCTGTGGCCCTTTGCTGCATGTCATCCCCTCTCTCTCTCACCCCTTCACACTTACCTGTCCTGTCCATTAAATGGCCCAAAAAATATCTTTAAAAAAAAAAAAAAAAAAAAAGATATGTGGTCAAATGTGTTCGGCAAATGGTTTGAGTGATCAGATCACAATACATCTTCGTGGTCGTGTACATTTGTATTCAGTGCTGTCCACTTGTGATTGGATCACCCAAGATGCAAGGTAACACCAGGCGTTAACAGGCTCTTTGACTTCACAGGTGTTACTTTTAACATTATTGATGGTTCCGTTGTATTTAAGTGTCCCAGTAAGGGCTCATTTATGTTCATCGATATCGACATCGACATATACGGATGCTGTTGGAGCCTCCTGTCTGTACTCTGCAGTAATTTTGTCTGTATTTGTTCACATTTTTTAAAGCTTATGGACGAAACGGAGCAGTACCACCGGAGATTGTGGGGGCAGTGTAGCGTATTTTAAAGAGGCAACAGATAGGATTCGGGGTTTTTTTTAGCTTGGCACCACCTAGCGTCAGCAGTGTTGCTCGCACTGTCGCAAAGACCAAATTGACCGTGGGGATCAGAGATAATCAATAAAATGTAGGCTGTAAAGCCACCATTATACCTCTATGTTTATGTAGAATGAGAATGTGTGTGGACATTCTACTAAATAAATGAGTCAAGAGACCGAGCAACAATTATCAGATTTATCTGAAGAAAAATACAAATAGTATTGCAATTAATTATACCAGAATGCACAGTACCAGTACAAACAGCTCACAGTAAATGATACCAATATGCACAGTATCAGTTCAAACAACAGTAGACACGTAAGGGATAATGTATAGTGAGCCGGTGACTGTCCGACTGTCTGAATCACTGTCCGAGGGCTGCCGTAGAATAACGAGGATGTCAGCCGACCAACACTCGCTACCTGGTCCCTGGTTGCGGCAATTTGCGATGCTGGCCAGCTAGGAATGAACTAGCAGCCAGTACAGTGCAGTCCTCTCTCAGCTAGCTAACATTTAGCCGTGTTACTTACTGATCCATTAGAAAGAAAGCTAGCTGGACACCGGTGTTGAAGCCTCTTTGGTCACGGAGCTCCCCCCATCTCTTGAACACCCGACTGAGGTTTATTCTTGTTTTTCCTCTTCTTTTATCACTCTCCTTTTTGTGCATCCTCGCCTCCTCAGACAGATTAGCTCGTTTTCTTTTGGGAGGCCGTTTTTCACTATCTCCAAACTTTGTCCGTCTGCCATTGTGCTCGTGACTCAACTATTTCATGCCCCGGCCAGTTCCTCATAAGGACCAGCTCCAGTCCCTGATTGGCTGACCGACCAGTTTGGCAATACATGACGCATTTCCTGCCGTAAAGCAGATTTTTTTTTCCGCGAAAATTCGTCCCCGGTGGCAGAAGCTTATTGCAAAGTCACTAAGTAACCTATGTAAACGCTGATAGTCTGATTTTACTGTGTATACTACCCTGTGCAATCCACAGTATTTTCATAACGATATATATAGGCAAAAATGCTGTCTGTTGCTTCTTTAAGTGAGATATGACCGTGGGACATGACAGAGACATTTAAACTTCCTAAGCAGAATGGAATGAATGTGTAACATAGTTCTCCACCCACGTCACAATGTATTTAATGGCTTCAAAGACTACTGCCATCTACAACACTGCCTCCCTTAAAAGGCACAATATTACCCTTATATTTCAATATCAGCAAATCCCATGAAAAGACCAAAACCAGCATTGGGTTAATCGTCTCTCAGTACTTTGTGATTTCTCTACGTTGTCAGTGGCTTTCAATTCCAAGCCCTTTTGTTCTTACTGGAGACATAAATCTTTAATAACAGCTCAGGAGTAAAGTTTAATGCTTTCAGAAAGGCTCTGTAATTTCATAAAACAGCTCACTGATGTGATTTCAATAGTTTCTGCACAACAGTGGAGCTCTGTGGTATCAAGACATAAAATACCAGGCTTTGATACACAGACAATACTTATTATTGTCAATTAATTGTATGTGAGAATAGGGGACACATTAACTACAGCAGGGAGATTTATTTAAATGATCATGCAAACATAAGAATTAAACTACAAGCAATATTGTAACTGGGTTCCTCCCCTAATGCTTGTTTTATGTGTATGTGTTCAGGGGAGCAGAGCTGCAGACCTACTGGGACTACAAGCAGGCATCCCAGTTGTACCAGCAGGCCTGGCAGCAGCTTCACTGCCAGGCCTTTCCTCTGTGGCCACGCAATGACAGAAATCTCCTGCTCTTCCACTGAAGGCCCACTCTCCTTAAACCCCACTCTGCAGCTGAGCTGAACAGTCCTCATCAAGATCCAGCTTGCCTGTTGGGTCAGCTGGTCAGCGACGTTAGAGGTCTGGATAAATATTGTTTGGCTATATTTGACTCTGCGTAGCCCAGGATGTCACCGCTCACACCAGCGGGACACCCAGCTCTGTCATGCTGTTCATAGAGGTTGATGACCGCTGCTCAGTGTCCTCAGATGCTGGTTTTATTTTCCACAGTGTGTAACGTGTTGTGACTCCAGCTGGCCAGTGTTCATGTTCTGAAAACACAGCTGGACGTACCTGTCTGCAAGTGGACTCCCAGTCCTCGTTTAAATGCTCTCCCACTGTGGTTTCCTCCCAGTGTACGTGTTCTGCTCAGGTGGACTGAAGACAAACTGAGCATGGTAATGAAAGTACATGTGTCTATTCAGCTTGTGATGACCTGTAAACCTGATCAGGGTGTTTCCAGTGCATGTTAGAATAGATTCCAGTTCTCCAGGACACTTAACTCACTCATAAAGACAAAGAAGAAGTTAAACTTGCATATTTCTGCACAACAGTCAGGTCCTTTATGCAGACCAGGCAGACACCAAATCAATGTCAGGACTGAGGATCAGTTGTGTTATTGCTTTTGCTCAGCAGATTCCACTGACAAGTAACAACCCACTTCAGCTCAGCTAACACTGAACAGCATGTTGCGAGTTATGACCAGGAAGCTGTACACTGTGTATTCAATGTCATTCTCATTCCTCTGCAGCAGAGATTCAGAGCTCTTGTTAACTTGATCTTTTAAATGTTCTTTGCACTGAAGCATACATGTACTGTAAATATATGGTGATGCTCAGAAAAATCACTCAAGTGTCTCTATTAATTTGAATGTTTTTAACCCTTTGTTTAAGATCTAATTTGTTCATTTAACCCTTATTCCTCCTCCTCCTTCTCTTCCCTGGCCTAACAGAACAGGTGAGGAAAGCCAGCAGTCCTCTGCAGCTCCCAAGCTCCATGTTTTTGTCTTCTATCTCCCTCTGTATCAAGGCATCGTATTGGCCTGTGATCCAATCACATCTTAAGGATTTAATCCAAATTCCTCTAGTGACTAAAGCTCAACTACATATTCCATTTCATGTTACTGACACTCAACACGCTCTCACTTTGTATTCAGTGCTGTTTCTATTCAGTGGTGCATGTCCTTGTGCACATGCATGACACAAAAAGGGACCCAGTTGTAAAATATTGCTACACAGGTATACACAGGTTGAAAACAATGTCAATATGGAGAGTTGAGGCATCACATTCTGATATAATCCTGTTTTAATGTGTTGTAAATCTATTAATACATGTTAGGCAATTAACTGATCTTTAAATAGGCTTGTTGTTCTTTTCTTTAAAAAGACAAATATACAGCTTTAATTTGAAGGAGTACATTGATTATAAAAAATAAAACATTCACTGGAAACAAACCAACCAACAAACCAAGGGAGACTTGTGGGTACCCATTCAACCAATTTTCATTCAGATATCTTGAGGTGAGAGCTCAAGGGACCTCTTTGAAAATGACCATGCCAGTTGTACCCTCACCAAAATTTAGCCTAACATTGGAGCATTATTTATCCCCCTTCCTGATATGCAATGCTGACATGGTTAGTACCAATGAATACCTTAAGTTGTGTAGTTTCACAAGATACCACTACCGTTGTGCTAGCTTAAAAAATGTGTGCATCACAGCATTTCTAGATCCCAATGTTGGCCTCCAATTAAGCTGCTTAATTGTGGAAGGGCCAATGCACTAGTGTAAACACTGCACAAGGGTTCTTTCATTTTGAGCACATACAGTATGAAGTGAAAGTGTAGTGACATATGAATTCCTATTTAATAAGACAGAAACACCTCGTGATTCATTTTACATTCATTTTTATTGGTCAGGTCTTCCAGCTACCTTACCTTTTTCAAATATCTAAAATTCCTTTATGTCTTTAAGATATATTTAACAAACATACAACACGGATGAATTAAAACAATACTGAATATGATAGCATTCCATCAATATATTACACATCTACATACCATGTTTAAAAGCTTGAATCAGCTTTGTGGTGCACAAATATGAATACTTTGATGGGTCGAGTAAAGAGTGGAAATACGCCAGATGTCTTACTCTGATTCAGCACCAAAAACTACAGATGCAGCCAAAATGTCAGCTTCAGAGTCATCTGACTGAAGAGAAGAAAGATCACGAGTGGTTCTGATTTTATACCTCTGTCGCCCGTGCAGCCAAAGACCTGAGCAACACTTCACTTGAAGTATTTGAAACTTGAATTACAGTGCTCCTTATGGACACAAGGTTCATTAAATATGGGTATTTAATCATTAACAAGTGTGGAAGCACTCTGCACACTAAAAATGAGCTTTCAGTGATTTTATTAACCAACATTTCCTCTGAGAGCTTTGTGTGTATTAATCATTAAAATATAATGGGCAGGGACAGGATCAAACACTGTGTCTCATACCAGGAACAGAAGGACAAATATTACAAAATAAAAATCTTCCTGATGTCATGTACTTGTTAGTGTGCTGATGGCTCACAGTGTATTAGCAGTTGTCCTTCTAAAGACAAACTGAAATTAAACTTGAATCAATTTTACAAGCAGCACAAATTATTACAATAGCTATGTGTAAAGGCAGTGCAGGAGCCCCTGTTTGTGTTCACAGTGGGATGTAAACAGTTGATCCACTGCTACATACTGAGTTATTGTATGGCCTGCTTCCTCTGTCTCTGCTGCAGGATGTGAGTTTTTACATTTTCCTGAATGCCTTGAAAAAAGGAACTCCAGAGAGAGAAAAAACGTCTTACTTGTAGCTTGTTAGCCATCCAGTTTATGATCAGTAGTGTGTGGCCCAAGCCTTTTACACAAAACACAACATGGCTTATAACATGTTCTAAAGATAATACCATTACAGAAGGCGTGGTGACACTTTATTTGGGTAGTCCACTTACAGACAGATTAAAAAGTATTTGTAACATTATAACAGCCAGTTAGTTGAGATTTAATAAGTCCACTAGAGTTGGGTCAATGTCCTTTTTTTTCCAGTCTGGTCCAGCGTCAACCTTAAACCAGTTTGATTTTTTGCAAAGTGGCTGAATCGACATTTGTCAATACATGTTCTGGCAAATAACATATAGCCTCCATCAGTAACAGTAACCTGTGCAAACAGCGTCACAGCAGTAAACGCAGCATATATAGCAATAGTAATAAGCAATATGACAATGTGATTAATATAATATTATGCTCTTAAACTGAGTAGTGTCTGGCCTCTTGTCCAGGTCAGTGTTGGCAACATGAAAGAGATCAAATTTCAGTAAAGGGGATGAGCAGCCAGTGCTGTGTTTGTTTACTTAAATCTTAATATATTTTTTGGGGTGACGAGAGGAAACATAGCAAACCAAACCTAGTCTCTCAAGAAAACCGCACCAATAAGACAACATTTTGGATTTGAGGCCAATGGAAGAGGTGTGAAAACTGGCACCAGACACTGTGTTTTTATTTATACCTGTTACTTAGTTTGAAAGTGCTGCAGTCGACGAGGAACTGCTGATTCATGTAGTTGAAATAAAGAATTAGCCGCATGATACCTGCTCATTTCACTACAAAAACCTAAATAAGGTGGCAGCTGGCTGGATGGAGATTGTCAGGGAGCTGAAAGTTTCCGTTAGGCTAAATAACCATCGCTAATAACAACCTACTTGCAGTTGGCTATGTAGAATGGTACTTCCAGTCAATATCACAACATAAAATGTTACAAATGTAGGACTCAGGAGCTTTGGAGCGGCTGCTAAATCAAGTGGGACAGCTGGTAAAATTCGGGATACCGGTCTGGTCCAAACAGGTTTGAAGATTTTTGCACCAGCCCAACCCTGAATTCCACTATTTTGCTTTGTTGGCAAATGTTTAATATATTATCTATGGAGTATATGTGACAATTCATGAACATATTCTTAGAATAATTGAACTTAACCTATTCACTCACCCTGTTTCAGCATCTGAGTGAGTTTCCCTGTCAAGTGTTTATCATTTCCAGATAGTTGAGCTGTGATCACAACATAAAAACATCACAGTTCAACACAATAAACTTCAAGTAAAGTGTTGGGTTTCTGAAACAGGTCACTGAGGTTCATGGCTTGCTGTTGGTATCATGAGTCTGAAACCTGGGTGGTGCTGACATCTATTCAGCCAACATAATGTGTAAATACGTAACAGCCAGACTGGGAAGCACTCAGCAACATCCTGGGGACTGGTGCTGGTCCCTGTCCCTGAGCTGGACACACTCCTTACTGGCAGCTGACAGTTATCCACCATCATGAGCTGCTTTCTGTCACATGCTTATAGTTATTCTCATAGCCTATCATAGTGCTGAGTGTACCTGTGGCATTAAATATTGACGTTTTATACATGATATGATGAGCCATACAAATACATCCATAACATGGTTAATGATTCTAGTCACATGGTTATAGGGTTTCTTTCTCACCTCAGCTGAACACAAATATCTGTGACAACAAAGAAAGAAAGGGTAGCGTGATTAAATGATGAGTGATGATTGGCATGTGTGTGTGTGTGTTTGTGTGTCTGTCAGAGCCTACATTATTATATTTTTTTAATTTAATACTAATGTCGATACTTGGGAAATTAATGATATCTGACATGCCTGTAATGTGCATTGTTATTCTTATTTTTCGGCAGTGTTAAAGATATTCTTTCCACAGCTGACCTTTAAACAGTAACCACAACAAAAGACACACCATTAAAGTCAAGTATCTCTTGACAATAATGATCATCCGAGCCTGTCAGAAAAAATCAGAGCAAGTTTACTGGGTGGTGTAGTTAATTTTCACCATAAATGTGTTCTTTCTAGTATCAAAAATCGACCATAAATAACTGTGCCAAGTGTTTAGGTGCATTAACACATGAAAAGGCCAATATCTGAAACACTGTGCACCCGTTTATGTCGGCTCTACTGTGTCACTGTATGTGTGTGTGTGTGTGTGTATGTGTTAGAGAGAGACTGGTAGTTGCTGAAGCGTTAACCCCGTGTTGTATAAAAGGCCTTGTAACCAAAGGTGTTTTCTCCGCTGTAGGCCACGTACAGAAAACCGTCCTCGTCCTTCTCTTTGTCGTACAGCTGCCCCATAGTCAGACTGCAACACACAGCAGAAACCAGACTCTTATTAGATCACACACACAAGTGAGCAGCATTGATTATATTTACATCTTCTGTATGAGTTTGTGAAGACAAACGCCTCCTATAGTGGTTATTTTGTGCTGATCCACAGAATTTTAAATCCGTCCACTGTGCTAAACCCTACAGCAGTCCCTCTGAACAAATCACAGAGAGAAAGCAAATGCACAAATATTTAGGAAAATGCTTTCTCATTCAAACTAGAATTACCACCTAACAGACGTATGCCTATGCCAACCAGTCAAATTTCAGTTTATATGCATGTCTGTCCAGACTCATAGTAACTGTGGTGAAGATGTTGAAGGAATTTAAAGGTCCCATATTGTGAAAAGTCAGATTTCCATGTCTTTTAAAAATAAAGCAGGTATAGGTGCAACATAAACACTGTGAAACTATCAAAATGCTCAATCCACAGAGAAATGCAGACAGTTCATATTCAGAGACAGTGCCTTTAAAAGAGCTGTCAGCATTTCTGTGAATTTGTGATGTCACAAGTACGTTATATAGACCATTTGAAACATTTACATTCTCAATGGGACCTTTTGAATTTTTTGTTGGAATGTTTTCCAGTGTTTGTGAATGACATCAGCTGACAAGATGTAAACATGGACCCAAGCTGTTGTCAAGCAATCCAGTAAAACCTTCTACAGTATAAAGATTAAGAAACTGAGCGTTACAGACAGAGGGTGATTACAGGTATATTCAGGCACACTATGAGAAAAAGAATGTTTTTTGTTTTACATTAAAGCATGTCAACATGTTCGAGTAGAGTCCCAAAATATAAGTATGAACCTGAATATGAGCATAATATGGGACCTTTAATAAAAGTTATGAAGTGTGTTTTTTGGCAAAACATGGGCGCGTCACACACATCTTCAACTCGGCCGTAGAGACGATCTGTACAATCAGCACAGTTTCATTGCCCAAGATCAGTGTAACCAACTCAGTATCAGACCAAATGTCTCTCTTTTGTTCCTGAGATAGGACGTTCAGTAATGGCCAGAAAAGTGACTGTGATGTTACAGTGAAGTTAGCCTTTGACCTTTTGGATATTAAATGTCATCACTTCATTATTTTATCATATTAGATATTTGTGTGAAATTTTGCTATAGTTAGCGTGTGAATTCCTGAGATATGGCCAAAAAATTTTTGCGAGGTCAAAGTGACCTTGACCTTTGACCACCAAATTCTAAGCATTTCATCTTTGAGTTCCAGTGGACGTTTGTGTCAAGTCCACAGGCATTCTTGAGATTATCATGTTCACAAGAGTGGGACAGACAGATGCATAAACATACGTCTGAATGGATGGACAACTTGAAAACATAATGCCTCGAGCCACAGGTGTCGCCAGTGTGGACGCATTGAAAAGCTGTAGATACAAAAACAAAAGGCCTAGTCTACCAAAGTCTTTCAAATTTCGAACACTCACTCCCTTTAGGTGTAAAAGACGTTGTGAAAAGTTTTTAGTGTCCTCATTATTGAAGAATAACACATACATACAATAAAGAATTCATGAAATGTCTGCCGCAGGAAAGACATATTCCCAAGTCTTCTTTTATATTAGTCCATGTTCCAGATTTGAGGATGTTTCAGGTTTTAAGCTATTTGGAGTCCATCTGCCTTCATATTTGTGCTTTCTGATCCATTCTGACATTTAAAGAGCATTTTGGGAATCAAACCTTGTTGCTGTCTGGCTAGAGTCAGATATAACTTAGACATGTGTGAGACATAATAACCTCTTCTTGTGTTATCATCAAACGGATTTAAGTAAGTAGAATAAGGAAGTGGTGTCTGTAATATTTCCTCTAAGCTCCTATTCATCCAGACTCCTCTGTTGACTCATCTGCTGGGAGTGTCTGTGCCCTGATAAGTCCAGGTGTATCCTTCCTCAACACAATGGTCAAACAGGGCATCTGTTAGGATGCCTTTTAGGAGAATGTGTCAAGATGCTTATATCTCAAGCAAAGATATAAACTCATGGTCACAGCTGTTTGGTGCTGGGGGTAAGTGTCAGCTGAGTGGCATTCACATCATATCAGGCTGCTAAATGTGTCATTTTGTGTAACTTATGGGGTGACTGTAAGATTAGAAAAATGTAATGTAACTTTCAAAAAAATTGTTATAATTAAATGACTTTAAAGGAACAGTTTGCCCAAAAATATAAAATACTTTTTTCTTTTTTTTTGTATCTTACCTGTAGTGCCGTTTATCAGTGTAGGATGTTTTGGTGCGAGTTGCTGAGTGATGGAGATATCAACCGTAGAGCTTTCTGCCTTCTCCAATATGATGTGTATTTTTTATTTGGGGTGAACTGTCCCTTTAAGTTGTAACCCTTACAATTTTAGTCCCGTTTGGATTTTATTTGTTGACACATGGTTATGATGTGATTATACCAAGTACAGTTTAATACTACAATATGTGTTTACAGCACAGTCAAACAAAGTCACATTGTTTTAAAAAAAGAAGTCAGTCAAAACTAGGTCACTGTTTGTTAGCCTTGCTGAGGAGTGGGAGGTGGGCAGCGTGTGTCTTCATCTGAAAGCTCACTGTGGCCGCTCCTGACTGTGGCATTGATCCTTTACATTTATTACATTACAATTCAAAACTCAAAATCACATGCTTAACCTCCATCACTGATTACGATCTGTGCAGATCACTTAATCAATGCAATATGGGTTTGCAAACATTTCTTCTTATTTCAACATCAATACCCTCAGGTCAAAGTGTTTTGGACCACCACACACAAAACTTCACAGCTGGATGTGGTTACGTTTGGTCTGTTCTGCTTGTGACCACACCCAGCTGTCACTTAGCATGATACTAGAGTGTCATGCTACAAGAAAGCCAGATTATTAGAGTGGGTGTAGTTACTCTTTAGGAGCTGTAGGTTCACTGTATTACACTAAATGTAAGCCATTTTCCACAAGAGCATTATCAATACAATACAAAGGTCTGGGAAGCAGGTCAGATTCCTCAGAGATACTGCATGTATATGCATCACATCAGCATGTCAATAGCTAATGAGGGTCAACAGTAAAATGGAGGAGTTTGGTGTAAATTGAGAGAGCAGGTGTGGCCTCATCCGCTTTCACAGGGAGATGGATTTCACACACACCAAGAGCTCATATCATTCTGCTCTTAAGTAACACAGATGGACAGATAAACACACAGCACATAGTAAACACATGAATGGGAAAGTCAGACTAACTTTCAGCTGCATATCCAGGCCAGGTCAACACAATACATGATTTATAAAATCAATACATTTGTGGTTTACCGTCTGACCAATTTTGGATTTTTTTAGGGGGAGGATTTAATTTGTGGTGCTGTTGATCTGCATTCTGTCATACTGAGAGGTGTCCCTAATAGTTTCTCATTCCTTAGTGGTATAAATGTAATAGACGAAATATTAAAAACAACACAAAACCTAAACAATATAACCTTCATGAACAGAGTATCAATTGTAGAACTGGTGTACTAGGCTGCATTAGTTTTAGCTAGGCATACCTAATAAACCTGCAACTGAGTGAATGTCAGTACAGATATATATGTGTCAGTCTAGCTACGATGTGGTTATGTGACTACAAAAATTCACAGCAGCGGTGTGTCATATATTAACACTCTTGGCCCTCAGAAGGCAACTTTTTTAAGTCACACTGACTTTTGCTCACTTTTTGTGAGAAAATATAAACTAAATACTTAAGATATTTTTTGGATATATTTGTGAAATTAGGCTTCAGACCTCTGTCTCGGCAGTCATGTCCTCAGTTGTACTGTAATGAAATAACATCATGGTCTACAGATGTCCGTTTGAACTTTTGTATTCAATAAGGTGGGAAAAAACTGTTGCCTTACAGGCACATGTGCATAGAGCAGTGTTCACATGCAGTGTTTGCAACAGCATTTGTAAGTGCCGTTTGGAGAACAGGCACTGGCAGTCATGTTGTGCAGGTTAATTGAGTGGCAATTACAAATACTGACTGCCGTTTGCAATTGATTCATAAATGCCAACTGGTGATATCAAACAATATTTGGTACGGCAAAGGAGACTAAAAATGACATCTTTGGCTTTCCATAAGGAGACGCACTATCAACTTTAGGGCACCCTACTAACACGTCAGCATGTCATAACCCTGTATAGCCCCTAAACAATGACATAAGAGGTTTTTCCTTTTCTACAACATAAACACATAGAGCCAATAGATATCTGCTCCTTTGAAGATTCAAAACATTAATTAAGGAGGACTCATTGTGCTGATAAGTTTGTATTCCATTTAGAAAGTGGACGCTAGTTAGCCTAGCTTCCTAATGTTAGCACTGATTCAACACACTGGCTGAGTCATCTGCAGCTCCCGCACAATCAGTGCTGTGTTCATGACATGTTATAGCCAGAAGGGGGAAAACAAATAAAACTGACTTCTTTTGTTTAAATTACAATTTCAATCAAATAACTACTTGTGTCAAAACAAGCATTAGTGATGTATGTACTGATTTCTTGGCAAACAGTTACTTTAGATGATTAGTTACTTTAGTTACTTAACAGAGTTATGCAAACCTTTTTCACTGCCCTGTTTTTCACTGCATTTTACACTGTGTACCACCTGGATACTTTGAGGGAGAAAGTTGCTTCAGTGCTTCATGCCACAAATGTCACACTGTAGATTGATGATACACAACAGGAAACAGTTCTGCCTACAAGATTTCATTGTCGTACTTCCACTACACACAACCATACAACCTCAGACTGTCGTGTTGCTCTCACCTGGACTGAGGGACAGTTTTGTCGACAAAGAGGAAGATGGCTTTCTCTGAAGGCAGCTGGATGCGTTTCCTGATGATCCACATGAACTGGGCCACTGTGATGTCAGACGGCACCAGGTACTTCCTCTTATCAATGTCCACTATCTGAGAGCCAGAAACCTTCTCCACTATCACCTGGAGCACACACATTAACAAGAGAAAGGCTTCAATACTGTGTGATACAGCATGGGCTGCAATCTGTGTCTGCAGTGAGTCCTGACCTCATCAAACATGTCTCATATTAGTTGTTCTGGTAGCCAATAAAATTTCAGTTACATATTTCACCAGTAAGCGTTAGTACTGAGACAAGCAGGGACCTTGTTTATGTGCAGACATTATAAAATGTCAGGAATGTGTAAGGCCCTGTCCACATGAATACAGATATTTTTCAGTCTAATGATGACTTCACATTTAAACTCTGTATTGCTGCCCCACTCCAAAGATGAACGGAGGCTCCTGCTGCACCCAGTGTTATCGCTCCAACTCAGCGTCTGCTGTTTAAAGTCTGCCAGAAATGATAGTTTTGGATCAGACCCGGTTGAAACAGCAGGTGTTGGGACGAGTTCCAGTTTGTTATTGCTGCCAATGAAGAATGGAATGAAAACATACGCATGTTGAGAGCATCACTNCCAAGCTAGGTTAAACCAGCAGATCGTGGAAAGAAAGCTTTTGCATGTCCAGAGCATCACTGGTATATTTGAGTGAGCTCCTTCATCCTTATAGAAAATTAATGCAGATGTGATCTCTGGTTGGTGTTTTGAAAAAGGTAATGTTAGCCTGTACACTTTACTACCTTTGTGACTAGGGGAGAATGCCAAAAACAGATAACACTGGTGAGAGTTTTAGGTTGTTTTTAAGGTCAAGTGTTTAAGGTCAAATTAAGGTCACGCGGTCAGAATTTTTTTTTTTTTTCTTTAACAAAGGGGAAAAATATTCATTTTCAAAAATATCTGGTACATGTAGACAGAGCCTACAGCTACCGTAATTGTACAGTACGTTTGGCCATGTGGTGACAAGCTGAACATCACACACACATTTGTATGGTTTGTAAGAGCATTTGTGCTGAAAACAGTGTTGAACCCAGCGTCTTGTATAAGCTCTAACAATGCATTGAGCCTACACAATAGGAGGAGCTTTCAGTCTGTGTCGTGCTCCTCCCAGCAGTCTTCCCAATCAACAGATGCAGAATGCAAGAATTAGTTAAAGGGATTGAGTTTAACAGGCATTATCATCCACACAATAGGCTCCTGGTATGTATTTCCTCAGAGCAGCCAGTTAAACACCTTACACCAGCGTCCCTCTGTATGCTCTCTGATCTGAGGTGTCATTCTGCAGAGCTGCTATATTCCCTTCCTGCCAGCGTGGCACAGGTTATCTCACAGGCTTTTCAAGTCAGGTCAATTCTATTTATATAGCCCAATATAAGGGGAAAATGCCTTAAAGGGTTTTTCAGAGGTGGTTGTGATTTAGGTAGCAAGTGTGAGATAAATTCAAGTCTACATATAGTGTCATATCAGTTACACATCAACAGTAACAACGAACTGTGAGTTCTCAAACGCCATTTTTTGGATTTTATACTAAAGCTGATATTTGATTTACACTTTGTTCTTTTATTCCCCAAAATGTAAATTGTTTGTTTCTCCACAGACCTGTATTTTTTTATAGCATGAAAAAAACTGCATAACAGCATTTGGAGGAGGGTTAGAGCCACAATTTAGTAAATATATTTGATATATCGAGTATTTTATTATGTGCATGAAATGAGCAGATGTGGGGTTTCCATTTGATTTGAACATGGCCAATATTTTCTTTATTAGAGACTAACCGTAGTTGCTGATGGAGAGCATTAGTGCTATCCATAAATCTGTATATTCTGTATTTATATATTTGTCATTTATACAGTATGTTTTTGTGGACACAATACACTTCCTCTTGCTGCAGAATCTTTTGTTCCTTTAGTTTATTTGTGACTACTAATACTATATATATATATATATATATATATAGTATACTAGTTTTTAAAAGCTACAGATCTGTACAATATACCATACATCTGTTCTGCTGTTTATGCATGTGTTGCCTCATCTTAAATTCAAACTTGTGTGTAAGACTGGGCCGTATGGCTTATCAATGTATATCCATAGAATAATAATATAATATGTGTATATATGTGTATATAATCAAACACTTAGGGTACTTAAGAGAAAATAGCAAAAATAAATAAAAATATAGTATACACACACACACACACACACATATATATATACATATATATATATACACATATATATATGTGTGTGTGTGTGTGTACTGTATGTCCATATTTTTTTTTTTTTTTTTGCTATTTTCTCTTAAATACCCTAAGTGTTTGATTTAACCCTTCAATGCATATGATCAAACCAGTGATTATTCTAGTAACTAATCTAAATTTAGAGGGAACACAGCTCTAATGCCATTTTAGAGGGCTTTTATTTTTTTATTTTGAAATCAGAATGTCCTGATATTTTCTGAGAGACACTCTGAGGTGGTGTACTGTCATTTTGAAGTCAGATTTTGCTTTGGAAATGTATTCTTTATTATTAAGTTTGACTAATTATTCACATTGAAATAGATTTTTTCTCTGAAATAGTTTCCTTCTACGTATAAAACATTTATTCATTTTGTTTATTTATGTTTATTTCTTAATGCATTATTGACTGACTGATTTATTGAATGGGTGTGAAATAGCTTCTCATGTTCTTTCTATTTTGAAGTCAGATTTTACCATGAATTGTGGACTCCCGTTTTAAAGCCTCGAATTCTGCATTTCAGCCATTGCCATCTTGGTTTTCTTCTGGAGCCAGAAGTGACCATATTTGGATGAGAGGCTGGAGCTGTGGAGGAGCGAGGGGTGGATCTGACTCAAGCAGCCCCACCCTTAAATATGTGTAACTTTGGGCCTTAATAAAATGTAAACAGGTGAGTTATGTAAATAATTAAAAATCTGTGCAGTTGTCATGAAGCGTGAAATTAACCATAGAGACCAAAACTGTACCAGGCTGTAAACATGGGCATTTTAACATGGAGGTCTATGGAGACTGACTCTGCTCTGGAGCCAGCCTCAAGTGGCCATTCGATTAACTGCAGTTTTTGACACTTCTGCACTGGCTTCATTTTTCAGCCTTGGAGGCTTTCCCTAATGCTCTGCAGCACAAAACAATGTAGGGGCAAGTCTGACCATCTTTTTCGAAGTGCAGGCTGGCTTGTCTACAGTGTTGGAACCGAACCATGGCACTGCTACCTTCAGCAGCAATCATTTTGTGGCATATTTTGCAGAGGATAGTAGTCTGTCCCACATCTGCCTCCCTGAAACTGAAACACCTCTTTAGGATAGACCCACTCTGGGATCTTCATCCATTTTAAACTGATCTGAACTCAGTGGTTGACATTAAACTGGTGGGCATGGTTGATTAGTTTGTGGTGTCTGTGTGTGTGTGTGATGATGTAGTCATCTTCCATATCCGTACATAAAGCTTGAAGCTACCTGATGGGAAAATGGAAGAGCACTGAAAACATGTACACGAGTTTTCACTGGGGTCACAGTTGTAACCTTGGTTCTCTGTGCTGCTCTCCTAATCCACTCACTCATTCTCTCCTTTCCCGTCCGTAACTGTCATTCACTCACCCAGTCACTCACTCCTTATCTCTCGACTGTCTGTCACTTACTCTATCTGTACCCTTAACCCCCATCCCACCACCAAAAACACAGCCACCCCCTTACTCACCGGTACTCTGTCAGGATATTTGTTGCGTATTTTGGCTGACTCCACACATCGGTGCTCTGAGGGAGAGACAGGAAACAAACAGGAAGTCAGGATTAAAGGGATGAGTGAGGCCTCTTGGGAGCCTCCTCTCATGCCTTACTGCCAAATACAGCTGAGACCAGTCTGATAAAGTGCTCCATATGCAAGATCAAGCACAGCATAAAGGGCTGAAAGGGCGACGTGAACAGCCTGTGATTATCTTTAGTCATGTTAGCAGTGATCCTAATCCAACAATCGTGACTGTTTAGTTTGTGTAATGAATCCAATCAACAGTCTGTAATGCTGATAGTGATACACAACGTGTTAGTACTTATCATTATCAGAGTGATAGTGCATCTATTTCCAGGATGCTTTGTGAGCAGATGCAGCATGCAGACACTGAGCAGAGGCCAGAGAGGGGAGGGTGAGGTGATGGGTGATCCATTTAGGTTTAACACTTTGCACGTTTTCATTAGCCCAGATAAGAGGCCTACTTTTGGAAACATCTCTACAAAAGCGGCAGCGGCGTTTCTTTAAAAAGAAGAGTCGAGATTATCTGGAGAGAATATGGAGACAGAAGCCTGAAGGAGCTGAGCAGCTGAGAAATGTCACTTGTGGAGCTGCAAAAACACAAACCCCAGCCATCAGAGTATGGAGAGAACTCTACACCAAACTCAATTCAAAATTATGGTAAATTAATATTCCACCTGACACTTAAATGTTCATGTTAGTGACGCAAGTTGCAAGCTGTGGAACAAATATTGAGAACATGATCTTTAATTCGGCATTGATGAAGCACACAGTTACTCCTCATTTTCAAATCAAACGTCCTTTTTTTTAATTTTCGCTTTCTTTTTAGGAGGGCGGTGTGAAGCAATGCAAAAAGTTACCAATGCTCATTAGTGGAGTATTTCTGCCTCATTAACTACCACATTTAGCCAGTTTCTTCTAAAGGTTTTTTAAATGCAAGGCGACATTAAATTGTCAGATGCCTAAATGGGATTTGGCGATGAAATGCCTTCATGCAAAGGAAAGACACGTTTGAGGGAAACAAACAGCTGACTCCTATGATGTATCAGCAGTTAAAGGTGAATGACAGCGGTCATTTGCCGTGCAGGAACAACATGTTAGCTTTTGTTGCTAGTCATGCACCGTTAGCCATTATGGATCAGTCATCCGCGGGGTGCTGTGACCATCATGCATCTCTGCACCTGTGTGGAATGATACGGCAAAATCGCGAAGAGAGCAGCACAGAAAGGAGGGCGCATGACATGACAAGAGCATCTCTTGTTTCATAACAACCCAGACCCCTTTACCGAGGGAATGGTCCTCTTTAAACATCCATTTCATCTTTGCTGGATCCCCGCACTGAGGCGTGATGGTAGAGTCGAAAGGCGGGCTTCAAAATGTCGGCGTAATGTCCAAAAATCCAGACAAAAGCTATCAAAACAAAAACGTCAACAATGTCTCTGTGTCCGGAGCTTCACACCGTCCGTCTAACGTTAGCTGTGAGGTTACGTCACTGTCTGACAGAGGGGTGGTGATGATGATGCTGCCTTCAGGTGCTCTCGGAAAGAATCAGTCCCTCACACACAATACTGACTGGTATGTGCAGGGTATTTCCAGGCAGTAGTGGAAGAAGCACTTTGATATTTTGCTTAAATAAAAGTAGCAGTGCCGCAGTGCAGAAATACCCTGTTACATGTAAAAGTTCTGCATTTAAATTTTTTCATAAAGGCAACATATGCAAAAAAAATGCAGTTTTTCATAGTTTCTCAACATTTTTGTCTTCAGCATAAGACCATCCTTTCTAATGAGCAGTTATGGCCATTTCATAGTCGACGCAAAGGCACGCAGACGCAAACGCATTGGAACGCATCGAGACGCATTGGCCGCCATGATGCGTGCTTGCCTCTCAAAATGTCCATTTTTTTGATATGCATCGCAGCAACGTGTGTAATACCATGCGTTGCCAGCAGGAGTGATAATGCAAGCTACGTACTTAAACCACTTTTTGTTATTCACAGATGAAGCAGGTATGAAATGTGGCGGGCAAGGAGGAAAAACTTTGCGAACTCGTACGGGCACACCCCCATTTATCACAGTTCTAGTGCCCTGCACTCTAATAAAATAGCAGTACTAGCTAGCCAGAATGTACAGGTCACTCTGCTACCCCCTATTGCGCGAGCGATGTATTATTGTATTGTATTATTGTAAGTGCGCTTGCGTTCAATGTGTTGACTATGAAAGGAAGTGCGTTGCTCGTGTCACTTGCGTTGCTTGCTCGCATTGCGTGCGTCGACTGTTGCTGAACATGGCATCCTCCAGCTCCATGACCACCCTGCCATGGATGTATAAAGAGAACTGCATACAGTGTCAGATGAGGGGCCCCGTTCATTCCTATGAAAGTTGTTAAGTGGCACATGAAGCCAATAAAGCTCGATTTCTGCGATGTGAAATTATCCACATTTTTTGCACTGTGGAGCCCATAGAGCAAATACACTAGAGACATACGGAGGCTGAGCACGGGCAAGCAGCTAATTTCTACAAGCTGAGTGGCTAAACCGCGGTTTAGCGCTTCCCTAACATGAATGGAGATAAAAATACATTAATCTTGTGGCTCTGACGTTATAGGATCAAATGGATCAAATTCTGATAGTGACACAACAAATTTCGTGGGGGTTGTGACATTCAAAAAAATGTATCCACTGATTTACAGACATCATGTGACAAACATCATACTGCTTTATAACTGTTGATGTTTCTGAATGTGTGGTAATCCATGGTTTCTGGTTGTGGAACGCTTCGTAGCATTTTCACTGCCTACCATTTTGCTGTCTGTTTACCAACTCTGTTTTAGGGCATGTTCGAGATGTTGAACTTGACACACCAGATGAAAACAGTAAGGCATACTCATCTACTGGGAGCTAGTCTCATGTAGCCAGATCCATCTTCACAGTGTGTGTCAGCGCTAGAGAAAAGTCTGGAGGCACCCATTATCATACTGGTATAGAGAAAAAAAAAATACTGTGGAGGTGGAAGTGGAGGAAATGCCGGCTGAAATAGCTGACCAGCGACAGGCTTATACCCACAGTCTACATCCTGTGAGTCAGACTAACTGGCAGTAAATAGTAGCCTCTTTTTTTTTGGATTATTTTTTGTCATTTTGTCTTTATTAGATAGGAAAGCTGTAGCATGAAAGGGGGGGCGAGATGGCATGACATGCATCAAAGAGCTGGGGTTGGAATCTTGCCACTGCAGCAAGGACCTGACCTTTGTAAATGGGGTGCCCGCTCTACCAGGTGAGCTAATGGACACCCCTCAATTTTAGCGGGTTTTCCAGCGGTTAAAAAGTGCACTCATTTTGGAGGATAAAGGGTATTACAAGCCGTGGGCAGACGGGTAGTGTGTTTTTAGCAGGTGCATTTAAGAACATTTTGAAGTGACATTTGCAGGTTCACATGCTGTTGAATTTCAGCAGCTGACCAACTAGTTAGCTGTTAACTAGCCTGTGAAATGACATTATAGTGTACTTTTCTCATTGTCTCTTCTAGTTCAACAAGCTAAGGTGCATCACAAGACGTGCTCATTTTTGAGAGTTAATTAAGGAGATTGTAGCATGGAACCGAGAGTAGGTTGTTGTTGGCTCTTGTGTTGTGTAGCAGGCTGTTGTCTGGCTGTCGACTTGACCGTCTGACTTCAGCACAGTGTGAAAAATGGCTCTCATTCATTTAAAATCAAGCCAATCTGTTGGAGCACTTGGGGATCAACAGGGTCGTCCAGCTAAAAAGTTGAACTTGCTTGTCAGAGTTGTATAATCCTGTCTCTGAGTACTACAAACTTTTTTTGCTGGCTCTTAGCAACATTAAAGGATATGATTTAATTAGATTTATTTACCAAAAGTCTGAAATATGTCCTCCTGTCTCACACGGATGCACCATCTGTCCTCCACCATTGTTCTCTCCTCCAGTTAGAGATTTTTCTTCAAATCACAAGCATGCTGTCAGTGTTTTATCATTTCATTGTGCTACCACGCAACCTTTCACTCATGCAGCTGCTCTTAGAAGTAGAGACACAAGAGGAATCACTTTTGTAACGATTTCTTCCATGACATTTCTCTTGGGTGTCAATCGAGAGGCTGATCAAGGACCAGTCCCTTATTCTCAGCACAGTGAGACAACGGAGGGGCTTCTTTCTGCTTACATAACCTTTCCAACATGAAGAATACTGCCTTCCACCATGTTTCAACTGATTATGTCAGGTTGTGTTCTGGGATCTTCAGCAGACTTTCTTAAAGCCACTATAACACTGCATTTCCCCTGGATGCAAAGTAGATAATGAAAAGCCTTTATGTAGTCATTCAAAACTAAAGTGTGTGCACAACATACTAGACAGTGCAACCAAAACCGCTTTTTACACCATAGCTACCATGTTGTGACTGTTATCTGTAACTTACACCTGATCAACTGCCAGTTATTTCCCCTTTTGTGATTCTTCTTCCCCACCCTCCCTTTTGGGCTTAAAAGACTCTTGATGTGCACCTGTCTGTTGTAAGCACCACATTGTATCATCTATAGATTTTTCCATTTAACTTTTCCTACTTGTAGCGTGGATCAAGGGTCCTAACAAAGGTTCTGAAACATGTCATCTGCAAGGCCTCTTGTTATATCCAGTGGTCTTGGGGAAAGACCTCAGTGATAAATCAAAATAGCATGGTCTCTTGCCTATGGCAGCTTGGATGGGAATCCTACTTTCACAGTGACACAATATTGAGTAATTTTGCCCCTGCTTCTTCTCACTTCTTTTTCATTGCAGCCCCATGGTCTTTTCTCTCCTTTGTTTCATGGTGTGTGTATGTATTCTGCATACATATACAGATATCTCTTTTTAGTGAACTTTGAAGCAATCATGCCATAAAATGTCAAATCAGGCTACCAAAATAAAGACTAAAGACAGAGCATGAAAGGAAACAATCAGAGGGAAAGCAGCTACTGGCAAACTTGCAAGAAGTTTCTCAGAATGATTATTGGTATGTAATGTGGCAAGCTAGCTTATATTGTATTATTACACGGCTCTATTAAATGCTGTATTCTGATTGGTCAGTCGCGGCATTCAGAGGTCTGATATTACTGTGTAATGACCATTGCTATGTTGTCCAGCGTTGCTAGGGACGCTGCCCTGACAACAGTTACTTTTTTATTGGGCTAACGTAGCCGTTACCGCTTCAAAATAATAATTTACAAGATACAAAGATGGAGTATTTTCATGATATTTCATGATTTTCATTTTCTCTTGATTCCCTGTAGCTATTGTAGCGCAGATTCAGCCATTGCCGGCAGTTTTTTTTTTTCCTCTCCTCCCAATTTTTTTTCTTTCCTCCCGATTTATAAGATGATTTATAAATCAATAAAAATCATATAATTAATCAATATTCTGTCTCAAATTATTTATTTAACTGATAATTAGCCGTGTAATAAGCGGAATGATGTATAATGAGCCGGTGAATACCGGCTGCACGTCGGGGTTCTATTCCCCTGTCTGGAGTTATTTTCCCAGTATTCACCGGCTCATTATACATTATCCCTTACATATTACAGATTGCTGTTAAAGGATGCTGTATTGTGTTCATTTTGACAGCCACAGAGTGGATCAGTTGCAGATACATCATCACCATCTTCTCAAATTACCGAGGATGTCAGAAACAGTGAGATTATAAAGTGGATACTAAATGCCATCTAAAGCAGCCGTTCGCAGCAGATTACATTAAAAGGATATTTCCATTTTACTGTTTTTACAGGTGTGATAATGGATGTATTAAAAGGGGAAGGGGGCCCACTGGGACTACAGGGCCCAGATAATTGTGCCACGCCACTGCTCCCACTGTATGATAAGAACTACAAAAGTGTCAACAAACTGTTGGTGAAATGGCTGCAGAGCCAACATTGCTGACAATTTGATTGAAATAAAATCCAATAATTAGCCCACACTAATACAATCACTCCAGCTCATTTAAAATGAGATATACGACGTTAATTCTGTATCCGTTGGTTTCATGAATGACTTTAAATACCGAACACCGCAAAAGTATCTTCAGGCTGACAGGCTGTGGGGATAACCCTGCATGAACAATCCCAAATCGGAATAGGTGTTGTCTTTTGTCCTATTGTACTGGCATTGCGTGAATGCAGCATGAGTGCTAACACTGCAGCCATGGTAACCGTGAGACGCTAAGCTAACATGGCGCGGTACATGGTCCTTCATTAGCCAGGGTGCTAACGTAAATAGCATGTTTATACGCTACGTTTTTACCGAAAACACTCTCTGTGTTACTTAGCGAGGGTCAGTCTTTGTTTGTTTGGAAGTCTGCCGTCTATGAGCGTTTACTCACGTCAGTCCTACGGGCGCATCCACTCATTTACCATCTATGCTAGCTTGAACATTAACAAACGTTAGCTAGCTAGCAGGCTGATTTGATACTGGCGAACTCCTTTTATATCGTTACCTATGGCTTTCTATGAAGTCTACTCTCACCCGGCTTTGATTCGGTACAAAACGAGTGTTTGCACGAAAGCCACTCTGTTTCTGGTTGTTGTTTTGTGCCTTACCTACATCCCACCTCTGCTCGTTGCCTACAGGAGCCAAGGTAACGTTACAATACTGTGATGTCAAACACTTACATTAGCTTAACTATTACAACCATTGCGTCTGTCGTCATAGTTAAATGATAAACTTTATGAATGTCCCGTTAAGTGTAGATACGCCTACATTTCAATGCTTTTGTTTAAGAAGTAGAAATGCTTGCTTGGTGTTGTCTTAGGTTTCTGGATAAAGAGAAGCACGTATGAGGAGCAGCCGGTTGTGAGGTACCAGTACGAGACTCTGCTGGTGGCAGCTACCAGTACTCAGGGAGACTACGTCGCCTGGAGCACCTTCCCCCATCTAAACAACATGCTCGGGGCCAACCTCCGCATCCCTGCTGTGTCTGTAAGAAGAGAGTTCCTCTGTTCACATCATAATCACTAGCAAACCTCTAAGCAGTATGTTTATTTTGTTAACTGTGTGGGTGAACACACTTTACAGGTGAGAGAGGAGGACCAGAACCAGGATGGGAAGTTGGACCTGCTGGTTTTTCAACTGCAGCTACCTCTAAAACCTGAGGAGCAGGTGTACAGTGTCCAGCTGCTGCTCACCTTCAGCTACAAGCTCTTTGTACGTATTCCTCTGCAGTGCATATAAGACTTACTGTAGATGATTCAGCTGTCTGAATATTAAAGGGGAACACCACCTAATTTAAGAATTCCAGTATGTTATTTATATGGGCTAAGAAAGTTCGCTCAGTATCAATGAACATGAGCTACTCTCTCACAAAGCCAGAAACCAAAGAAGGAAGTTTCAAACTTATGAGACGATAGGGTATAAAGCCTGGAGCCGCTCCGTAGACAATAAATGGGGGACTGATTTTGTGGACCAACAGAATGTTTTTTTTAATACCCGAATGAGCTTTATTCTGTTGTAATGTTCTCAGTTCGGAAACAGAAAATGTGCCTTGCTGAGTCAAAAGATCTGAAATGGGCGTGTCATGTAACAAAACAGCATTGGCCTCTTGTGTGATATGTAACATACGCAACAGCAGCACTTTATAAACAACAACAATGGTATAACAATAACAATCATATACTGTCCATGTTATATGGTGTTGTTTTCCCAATTTGTGGACATGCTTGGCCACTGTTCTTCTTCGTTGAGTTAGCTGCTAACTGGTATCACCTACTTTTTAAATCTCCCACAGTGGGTAGCACGCATAACACGTTGTCAAAACGTCACACCCATGCCACCCATGGTCCCATCCTGCTGGCTGTCCCTTTTATACAGACGTCGTTTGAACACCGTTACTACCTCTGCTGCGAGCTTCAGGGCAAGACAACGCTGTTCTCCCTTTCCATGATCATACCTCATACACAGCACAATGAGGCTTTATACCCTACGACATCACAAATTTGAGTTTCAGCACTCAGTATTTTGGATATGGGAGAGAGCTGTTCAGGTTAACTTATATTTTTAGACTGTCTTAGACCATAGCAGAAACAGGTTTGAATTTTAAAAATGGGCGTAGTTCTCCTTAAAGGGAGCTGTACTCAACGTGATGCTCGGAAATAATGAGTTAGTCATATCTCAGACCAATTCAGATCTTTATGTAGCTAATATCACAATTTCAAGTTACATTACATTAACATTTATTCATGTTAACGTAACATTTTTTGCTACCAAAAACAGATTTTAGGATTAGTCTTAGTTGTTTATTTTTGTCCCCTGATTTCCCCTCATTTGTGTATTTTCATACACAGTTAGTGTAATAATACGTTTGGGGATGAATGTATATTATCGTCATATGCATTGTAACAGAGGTACCCTTGGCCACTAGCCAATACACAGTATATTAGTGTGAACTTCATTCATAGACGCATGGAGTAAGAGCCATTATCTCTTTCATTCTGCCTGCTGCAAAGGGAATTACTTCATGTTTATGGTCATATTAATAGTCAATTTACTATTAAGTAAATGATGGCTTTACAAATAGCACACTAATTAATTAGCTGTTACACTCAGCAAGCCACAGATCCCTTTCTGTGTGTGTATGCCACCCTGGCAGTACAGCCTGCTAACTGCAGTATGACGTCGGACCTATCCAGACCAGCCTCAGTCAATGTCCCAACTTAAGTAAAGCACATTAATTATCTGTGTCCTCCCAGCGGATGTCCACAGTGGTGATGCAGAGCCTGGCTTATGTGCAGCACTCTTCTTCTGTCCCGGGAGCGAAGCTGTTCATCAGCGGAGACCTGAGGCTGCAGCAGAGGACGCCGCTGCCTCACAGGGGACTGTACAACATTTACAATGTGAGAGGACACTGGCACACTGTCTTTCTCTCTGTCCACCAGTTTTTTCCTTTTCCCTTATGCACCAAGACAAATTCAAGTAGAGCAGACTTTGCCACCCATGAATGACATGGAAATATATTTTGACACACTGTGAGACTTTAAAGGGTTACATTGTAACAGGTTTGAGCAGAGCCTGGCAGAGCGCTCTGCAGGAAGGTGAAGCTGAAAACATTCAGCAGAAAAAATTAGTGAAAGGGCAATTTTATGGTGTGATAGTGAACCAGGAACAAAGGCAGTGATAGGATGGATGAGATGAAACTGGAGCTACATGTAAAAGAGACAGTATCACATACAAAGAGGTACAGCGGATGTGTGAATGGGTGAAACAATGGGTTCACACAACCAGAAGGTCCTCTGTGAAGGTTTCTTGTTGTTCCTCTGTGTTTTCTGCTACATGTCAGTTGGTGCAGAGGTCAGAGGCACATATTGTAGTTGTTTTTTTTGTCTTAGTCTTTTGACAAAAATATCCAAGTTTTTGTCAAATATTAGACATTTGATTTGTGTTACTTTTAGTTAACAAAAACTAAAGACTCTTCAGTCTCGTTGTGGTCTGTGACCTTTTAGTCTCATTTTTGTGATGCATTTTAAATTTTTATGTCCTCAGCATTTTGACGCTACAGCTGTCACCATCTTTGTGGTGCACAGTTACCGTGGATACAGGTGTTGTTCTTGCGGAAAAGGCACCATTTACGTACTTGTTCACACACACACACACACACACACACACACAGACAGTGTCCATTTCACTCTGCTCTGCCTAATACAGACTGACTCTCCTCAGTGAGTCCTGTTTTATAATTTCTAAACTCCAGACTGTTTGATTAGGCCCGCCTTCTCTGTTGTTGCTGCTCAGCCAGCATTACCATCGTCACATGTGCTCTCCCCTGCAGAGCAGTGAATCATTCAAAGCTTTTTCCCTGAAGTACTGTTCATTTCTGGGTTTAGTTTGAGAGGAGAAGCTAAAATGTTGGATAATGCAGTTATATTCTTTAGCCAACATATAGAGGTTGATCGTTGACAGGAACATACTTTTTCCTTCTGATAGCACCATGCAAGATGGCTGACTAAAAATAATGTTATCATGACATCTGCAACACTTGATACTGTTACATGCACTTAACCTTTTTATGAATGTCAGTAAGCTGCCTGCTTATTTGTTCCAACCTTTTTATTGCTGCTTCTTGTCTATTTCTTCCTGGAATGTGGATGAATTCAGTCCTTGAATCTGTATCTTTCAAGAACATAAGAATGATATCTGAAGTTAGTGGTTCGAGGTAATTTATTGTTATTGTACAACACAGGGTTTCACAGTGAAATACAACTGTAGTCCCTTTTATGGTACATTAGAAAAACAAAACAAAACAATTTCTGTGGGTGGACTGTGGAGGATGAAGAAGAGTTGAGGAGTTTACAGCCTGAGGAAAGAAGCCGTTTGGTGGTGCAGCAGCAGATACTTGTGTATTACTTGCCAGACAGCAGCAGGGTGAGCAGACTGTTGCCTGGGTGGGTATAGTCTTTTAGTATCCTTTGGGCTTTGTGCAGGCACCTCTCCTGACCAATATCGCTGATGCTCAGTAGAGGGGTACCAGGGATGTTCTGGGCGGTTTTAATCACCCGCTGCAGAGCCCTCCGATCTTTGGCTGTGCACAAACCATGCTAGTTTTAATGTTTCCAGTCAGGAAATTATCTATTGCTTGTAAAAGTTACCAAGAACTTGGCAGGGGGATTTTGCCTTCTTAAGTTTCCTTCAGAAATACAGTCATTTCTGAGCTTTTTTCACCAGGATGGAAATGTCTGATGGTGAAGTCAGGTTGTTTATAATGCTGATTTCTAGGAACTTAAACAGTTCACTTGTTCTACCTCAGCTCCACTGATTGGGTAGTGTGTCCTCACCTCTTTTTTTCTGTAATCAACAATCAGCACATTGGTTTTGCTGGCACTGAGCAGTAGGTTGTTCACCATTATGCAAGACTGTTGATTTCCCTTCAGACATGAATTCTTACTGTTGTTTGTAATCTGACCGATGATGCCGGTGTCATCCGCAAACTTTACAAAAGTAAATTACAGGTATGGGTGCACAGCGTGAACATGAGGATTGTCAGTGGTTCTTGTTTTACTGACAGAGACAGAATGTTACTGAATGCAACACTAATGGTAGAGCAACAGGTCAAGCCAAGCCAAGCAGCAGATGTTTTGGGTGGCCAGGGAACAGTTTTACTGAACACAAGCTGCAGTGTGTGATTCTGCAGATGTGTTGAGGTCACTAAAGAACACACAATACACATACTTGTAGATTCAGTGTGACTGATGTCCATCCCAAATATTCATCCATTTAGAAATCATAGAAAAAATACACCCCTAATTCAGAAGACTTTATATCTGCAAAGTTGCAGAAATGTAAACAAATATTGTATAATCCCGAATAGAATTAATGTACAGTATTAAAAGGAGCTGACAATCTTGCACCCTGCACCCCTGCACTCTGTGACATCTACATTCTAGTCCTCATAATATTCACAGTATAAACATTTCATTGCAACATACTCAACATGTGCTACCACATGCTGAGGGAGACGTGACTGGAACAGTGGCTCTTCATCTGTTTGTTTGTTTTCTCTCTATTGATGCCTAGGTGTCAGTCATCGATGGCTCCAGCCCCTTTGCAAGTGCATACAACCTTGACAACATAATTAAGAGCTACCAGGATAGAAACTGTAAGTTGACAAAGGCTCTTATTTTGTTTGCTTGGCTTTATTACTGCTGAATAGACCGTGTGACTAAACCCAGAATGGACTCGAGCTGAACCACCACCTTTGAGCAGGATTTAAACCTTGCATATTGCATCCACTGCATTACATGCATTTTGTAAAATGTCTTTTTGTCCTGTTTTTCTACCATAGTGACCACAGTGCTGTCCTGTCCCATGCCCGTCTGGACCGTGGGACGAGCTGCTGGCTCTCCCTTTCAGCTTAATGCTGAGATTCGATACCCCATGGAGGTCATTAGATATCCTTTAATAAATGCAGGAAGGTGTTCTTTTTATACACATTCTATGGAAACAGTTCACTTTAAACCCCCAATGTAGCACTTACTATGAGTAATGTAAACACTAAATATAAAATGTCCTTATAAATGTTTTAACTAAGATCTGAAGTGTTTATTAATGTACAATATTTGTCCAACGTCTCCATGTTTTACCATAGATCGTTTCAAACTTAACACATTTATCCCTCTAAAAGGGTCCCTTTGTATTTCCTGTTGGAATGTTTTGCAGTGTATGTGAATGACTTCAGCTGACAGAAAGTAAACATGGACCCAAAATGTTGCCTGGCAATGCACTTCCAATAAAACAATTATTAATCACCTGTTAATACACCAGCCTCCACTTCTGGGTGCCCACAGGAGGAGTTATAGGTGTTGATAAATACATAACTAAAGACTTAGATCTGTCTCCAATTGTAGTGTGTTATAAACCATTTATTAAATGTTTATATACTATTTATACTGTTCTATTTAAACTGCTTATAAAGCTAAATATAGGCTTAAATAAGGGAAGTAACAGTGTCGGGCAGTCTATAATTTTAGCTATATTTCTTTTATATTCTTTTATGTATATATATATATATATATATATATATATATACAGTACAGGCCAAAAGTTTGGACACACCTTCTCATTCAATGCGTTTTCTTTATTTTCATGACTATTTACATTGTAGATTCTCACTGAAGGCATCAAAACTATGAATGAACACATGTGGAGTTATGTACTTAACAAAAAAAGGTGAAATAACTGAAAACATGTTTTATATTCTAGTTTCTTCAAAATAGCCACCCTTTGCTCTGATTACTGCTTTGCACACTCTTGGCATTCTCTCCATGAGCTTCAAGAGGTAGTCACCTGAAATGGTTTCCACTTCACAGGTGTGCCTTATCAGGGTTAATTAGTGGAATTTCTTGCTTTATCAATGGGGTTGGGACCATCAGTTGTGTTGTGCAGAAGTCAGGTTAATACACAGCCGACAGCCCTATTGGACAACTGTTAAAATTCATATTATGGCAAGAACCAATCAGCTAACTAAAGAAAAACCAGTGGCCATCATTACTTTAAGAAATGAAGGTCAGTCAGTCCGGAAAATTGCAAAAACTTTAAATGTGTCCCCAAGTGGAGTCGCAAAAACCATCAAGCGCTACAACGAAACTGGCACACATGAGGACCGACCCAGGAAAGGAAGACCAAGAGTCACCTCTGCTTCTGAGGATAAGTTCATCCGAGTCACCAGCCTCAGAAATCGCAAGTTAACAGCAGCTCAGATCAGAGACCAGATGAATGCCACACAGAGTTCTAGCAGCAGACCCATCTCTAGAACAACTGTTAAGAGGAGACTGCGCCAATCAGGCCTTCATGGTCAAATAGCTGCTAGGAAACCACTGCTAAGGAGAGGCAACAAGCAGAAGAGATTTGTTTGGGCCAAGAAACACAAGGAATGGACATTAGACCAGTGGAAATCTGTGCTTTGGTCTGATGAGTCCAAATTTGAGATCTTTGGTTCCAACCGCCGTGTCTTTGTGAGACGCAGAAAAGGTGAACGGATGGATTCCACATGCCTGGTTCCCACTGTGAAGCATGGAGGAGGAGGTGTGATGGTGTGGGGGTGTTTTGCTGGTGACACTGTTGGGGATTTATTCAAAATTGAAGGCACACTGAACCAGCATGGCTACCACAGCATCCTGCAGCGACATGCCATCCCATCCGGTTTGCGTTTAGTTGGACAATCATTTATTTTTCAACAGGACAATGACCCCAAACACACCTCCAGGCTGTGTAAGGGCTATTTGACCAAGAAGGAGAGTGATGGAGTGCTGCGGCAGATGACCTGGCCTCCACAGTCACCGGACCTGAACCCAATCGAGATGGTTTGGGGTGAGCTGGACCGCAGAGTGAAGGCAAAGGGGCCAACAAGTGCTAAACACCTCTGGGAACTCCTTCAAGACTGTTGGAAAGCCATTTCAGGTGACTACCTCTTGAAGCTCATGGAGAGAATGCCAAGAGTGTGCAAAGCAGTAATCAGAGCAAAGGGTGGCTATTTTGAAGAAACTAGAATATAAAACATGTTTTCAGTTATTTCACCTTTATTTGTTAAGTACATAACTCCACATGTGTTCATTCATAGTTTTGATGCCTTCAGTGAGAATCTACAATGTAAATAGTCATGAAAATAAAGAAAACGCATTGAATGAGAAGGTGTGTCCAAACTTTTGGCCTGTACTGTATATATATATACACACATATATATATATATGTATATATATATTTATGTACAAAATTTAAATTAACCTGGTGATATTTTAAAGGTATGTTCCTTTTTGTATTTCTGTTGACCGTTAGGTAAGAAACAAGTGTGGGTCAGGCTCAGCAGTGACACAGCAGGTTTCACCACTGAAAGTGTCCCCTTCTGAAGATTAAGAGTCAAAAGCAGTTAGAATCAATCGTGCAATTGCTGAAAGCTTATAAAACATGTAATTTCAAGTTTATTCCCTGTAAGCAGTTGAATCGTCAGTGGGTATGTATGCACTAAAACACTGAAAGTAGTTGAACTTGTAGTTGGGGCATTTTTCCATTACAGTTATTTTTGAAGCAAAATAACACTGAAAGCCTCAAGAATCCTCGCTTTATTGAAATGTGTCTGAGCTCGTCACATCTGTTGATACACAACATTATCTTAAATCAAGCAAAGAAAAGTGACCAACTTTGATAAATTAATAGATAAACAAGTAAACAGCAGTTGGGGGAAAATATAGGATGCTTTGAGTGTGGCTAGATAATAGTATTGCAGTAATTTGACAACAACACTACAGCTCAGAGTGCAAAATTAAATTCCTTTCACCTCCATTGTATTGGGATGGAAGCAGCGGATATCTTGGACTTTTGTAAATAATATTAAAATGATCTGCATGGCAGATGGGTTAGCAGACCCTGTACGCCACACACTTTCCAAGCTGTCCATATTTGAGTTTTTGTTCAAAACAAGTTGGACTACATCCACTTGCCTGTACTGTGAACTTTTTCTTGCTGTTTCTGCCTTAACCGTCTCCTTCCACCTATCGTCCTGGCTTCTGGGAAACCATCAAATTTGCCTGGATTCAGTATGTCAGTGTCCTCCTCATCTTCCTCTGGGTCTTTGAACGCATCCAGAGATTTGTTTTCCAGAACCAGGTCCTCACCACCGTACCCATACCAGTGGGAAAACCTCACCTGTCATGATGCAGTGGTGGTGCTTGGACCTTCAGGTGTGCATAAACCACCAGGCTGCTTTTTTCAAACAGTGTCACATGTCTTGCAATGACTCGCCAAGACTGATAATCTGTGACTGAATTGTAATACCAAATAAAAGACTGTTTGAGTTTTAGGGATTAGCCATTAGGTCACTTTTGTAATTAAACTTTCCCAGACAGGATTCTATGCAGGCCCTCCTCCACAGGAAGTACACTACTTGTTGCATTTCACCATTGCATTTCTTGTCTTACTGCTGTTTTAAACAATGGAAATTTATAGAAAATATTAATAGATTTCTCATATTTTTCCTATTTGTATGTTTATGACAGTTTGTGACAGTCATTAAAGAAATTATTTGTTGATAAGCTCATTCATTTTTGTATTGTACATAGCTTCAGGTAATGGATAATAAACATTTTGTACTTTATAACATTTTGTATCTTCCTCAACTGTAATGCTTTTATTTACTATTTATTTTTGAATAATTCCTTGGAGTGGAAAAATTAATTTGTAAGCAACAGCAATGAAAATATTAGTGCTTTTAATTATGCAAATGATGGTTATTATGGCACAGTAATAGCAAGGGTGGGAGAACAGACATTGGAATTTTTCTGTCTTCAGTCCTTTCTTAATCCTAAAGGCATGTTAATGTGTGACTGATTAAGTTTCCACTTTACCACATACCATCAGTAGAATACACCTGAGCAGGCCCATACTGTTTCCTGAAGAGGGGTTTTCATTATGAAACAGGCCACATTTTACTACCCTCACCCTTTTCCTCTTTCCCCCTTTATGGGTGGCCCTGCACCTGACTAGAGACTGACTGTAACTGGGACACTGAGAAGATGTTTTTATGTTGTTTTTTTTATATATATATAAAGGATTAAGGTTGGTACCACGTATGTATGGGGATTGCGTCCTCGCAACCTCACAAGACCAACCTGACGTAACATGCAAGCACTTCATTGATCGCAACAGAAAAACAACACGATACACAACTGCCTCTCCTGCAGTCTGCTTTATGTCTGTTAAATGATGGCCTATGAAATAACAAGATTTTACATTGTGGGAGGATAATCTGCAGTACTTCAGAGGCAAGAGTTAAGGTTTTAATTTGTTTTCTGGCTCAATGTCTCAAAAGATGCTTGTTAGTATTTGTGCATGTCCACAATCAGTTTGTTGTCTCTCTCTCTCTCTCTCTCTCTCTCTCTCTCTCTCTCTCTCTCTCTCTTTCTCTCTCTGTGCGTGTGTGTGTGTCTGTGTCTGTGTCTGTGTGTCTGTGAATGTGTAGTTCTGGACCTGCACCACTGTATTAGGTCATTTAAGCCACTCAGTCAGCCAGTTCTGGGTGGACCAAACAGTTTAGTAAGAGTCACACCCTGTTTGCACAACTACAGTACCCAAACTTTTCATCTGCCCTTAAACATTTACTTTCTAGCCACTTAGCAGTCACCCTCCTGTAGATTGATGCTGCCAAAAGTGCAGCTATAGAGAGAGGTTGTACTAGTTAGGAGTATTTAAAACAAGGAAGGAAAAAAGCAGAAGGAAGTCATGGAATATCTGGTACTGATATCGTAGTCTTGTATTAATTACAAACTTTAAATATATCAGTGATTCATATTTTTCACAAAGGCTGTATAAATTGCCTTGTTTTCTACTTAATCAGCTAATATACAGTACTGTATACAGTATATGTCAGTGGTGCTGTGTAAACATCTTAGGTGAAGCAGAAGTGTGATGTGCTTTCAAATGATGAATACAAACAAGACTGAGAGACTATAGTCATGCTGATGGTTCTGTGGGGCTCATCCCTATGTTTCCCGGGTTCTATATGTTCCCCAATTAACCCTGCAAAAAAGGTTCTATGTTCCCCGCTTACACAAAAAGGGTTTCCCACTTGGTTGAGCGGGCAACATGGAACCCGGAAAACATAGAACCTTTTTTGTGTAAGCGGGGAACATAGAACCTATTTTGCAGAGTTACGTGGGGAACATAGAACCTGGGAAACATAGAACCCTGGAAACATAGATACGCTCCTGTTCTGTGAGGCTAAACTAAGCCACAGCAGTGCTTTGAGCTAAATGCTAACATTGGCAAACTACCACACCCCCATGACAATGCTAACATGCTGATTCTAAGCAGGTATAATGCGTGTCATGCTCACTATCTTTGTTAGGCATATCAGCATGTTAACATTTTCTTTTTAGCACTAAACACAAACCACAACTCAGGCAATGTCATTAGTTTTACAGGTATGTGGTCATCAACTTAATATTGGACAAATAATTTTTTTTATATCATTAAGGTATCTGTGTTTGTGCCACAACAAAATAAATAGCATTTTGATCAGTTTCTTAGAATCAATGATAGCGCCATCAAACACTATTACAGAGGCTGTGAGTGACAGAGTACTGTATTCAGTTTTTTACACTTTGCTGTGGCTGTTTCAAACTGATTTCACACCAGCGCCTCGAGGCACAGTCACCTCTCTACCCTCTCCACTCCTCATCCAGCAGGCATTTACTGGTGACCAGAGAGCTTTGGCCTCGGCTGCAGAGAGCAGAAAGACAGGATATGAGTCTGGTTTATACAGGAACCAGCTGCATCCTTCTTTCAGTGTTGTGTTACTTTCTGTTTAGATGAAACTTGTGATCAGTATCTCTCCCTTCCACTTTACTCACCAAAACCCAGGTGAGCTAAACTCAGGTCCATTCCATGCAAGTCTTATAACTGCATATTAGGCCATATAATGTGTTTCACCTACAGCCTAGACATGCTGCTAAAGAATATGTTTTAAATGACCCCAAATCACATCAGTGTTTTGATTTAAAAAAAAAAAAGAACACTACTTGCCATCCCTTTTCCTGACCTTTCAACCTTATAGTATCACACAGTCTTTTTTAGAACCTTCTTCCAGAACTCAACTGGGAGAAAAGGACAGTTATCTCGGTTCAGCTGAATGACCCACTCTTTGCAGGGCCTTGTGGTCCTGTTCAGACAGTGATGTTACCTGTCAAGACACTCTAGATCGTGCAGGAGTAGGAATTCCTTAGTAATTGATGGGATATCCTGAACTTCCTCATGTGTCTGAGATGATACAGTCTCTCTCTTGCCACTCAGTCAGTACGTAGCACCCAGGTCAGGCCCTTTGTGATATGGACACCAAGGTACTTGAAGCTGTTGAACCCCCTCCAACGAAGACCTGTTGGTATTGAGGGGTGAATAGTTTCTTTGCTGCTTCTTACCAAAATCCACTATCCTTAGGCTTTGACGTTCAGGAGTAGGTTGTTGTCCTGACAACAGCGGGTCAGGTTCTCTACCTCTTTAGGTAGGCTTTTTCATTGTTATCTGTGATCAGGCCCACCACAGCTGTGTCGTCGGCAATCTTGATTGTGTTGGTGTCATGGCTACACAGTCGTGTGTGTACAAGGAGTACAGTAGGGGACCCAAAACACAGCCCTGGGGTGCTCCAGTGTTAAGGATGAGAGTGGAAGAGGTAAGTCTGCCCACTCTCACTACCTGAGGTCTGCCTGTTAGGAAGTTAAGGATCCATATGCACAGTGTGGTGTTAAATCCCAGCTCTTTGACCTTTGTGACCAGCCCGGAGGTGACTATGGCTGCTGAGATGGAGTCAGTGAACAGTAATCTTACATAGCTCCCTTTCCTTTCCAGATAAGATAGAGTGGTGTGGAGGATGTGTGCTATGCACCTTTTGTAGATTGGTTGGGATGGTGGGCAAACTGTAGTGGGTCCAGTGTGCTGGTTAGTGTGGAGCAGATGTAATCCTTAACCAGCAGTTCAAAGCACTTCATCAGTACAGAGGTGAGAGCCACTGGGCGGTCATCATTCAGGCAGGTAGGTTTGCTTTCTTCGGCACATGATGATGGAAGACTTTGATTTTGAATATCCTCTCACTAATACTGTCTGGTCCTGCTGCTTTTTTGATGTCCATAGCCTTGAAAGCCCTCCTGACATCATGTTGAGAAAGGATGCTAGATTTCAAAGGTGCACCCACCCATCCATTAACCTCTGTGTCAGCTGTTTTTGCTTGTTGGCTGCTGATGGCCTCAAAGCGAACATAAAAGGTGTTTAGCTCACTTGCTAGAGATGTATCAGCACTTGACAAGGAGGGGGTTTGGCTTGTAAGGATGTAAAATGTAACTTTAAGTACTTGTCATGAACAGGGAAATTAACTATAGAGACCGTTTTTGGTTTTTTTTTTGTAACAGGCTTTAAACGTTTTTTTTTCTGCTGTACAGTTGGACATTTTAGCATCTATGGGGACTGATGGACTGACTCACTTTGGGAGCCAGCCTCAAGTGACCATTAGAGGTACTGCAGTTTTTGGCACTTCCATGTTGGTTTAATTTTTCAGTCCGGGAGGGTGCCACTTTGTGAGACTGACAGGCAGATTGATGAAGCATATTTTCAGAAAGAAATAACATTCTTCCTACATCACTACATTTTTCTGATGGCTGCGGTTACTTTGTAAGTTAAGGTATTAACATGGAAGTCTTAAAATGAGCTGACATTACTGTGCTGGCTTTAAATGGATTTTCATCAAATATTTCTCATGAGCACTAGTGGAAGTTAAGTCATTAAGTAGTAATAACACACTGTAAAAATAATCCATTGTAAGTTAAAGTAAGTACATATCTACAAGATGGACTTGAGTAAACTTAATAAATGCAGAAGGGCCCCTGTGAGTGTTTTACTTTCATAGATTATATTATTGGAGTATTAGTTTAGTTTAGTTTAGTTTATTAGTTTATAGTATCGTGGACAATCCCAATTAATTGACTGTAGAAATAACAGTAAAAAGGGCAGCTTTAGCCAACATGGCTAATATCCAGCTGTAGTCCCCGGCCTGATGACAATAGGCACCCTAAAAAGAACAGTACATTACAGCACATTCATTAAAAAAAGAGAGTTAAGAGTGAAGAGAAAAAGATAGATCAATAAAGATAAAAAGGAATAGTAAAACATCAATACAATCATGCAGAGACAGCACATATAACCAAGACATACAGAAGCAGCACATGCTATATAATCACGCACAAAACGTCAGCACATACAATCACATTCAGGAATGCAGACAGACAGCACGTATAGACATACAGCGTTTATGATCATGACGCAATGACACACAGCCATAGGTTAGTGTGTGCAGGTGTAATTGTCAGTAAACCATGTTTTTAACTTGGCTGTAAAGGTGGAGTATGTATGTGTATCTATAATATCGGTGGGAAGTGAGTTCCAATTTTGTATTGCTCTAACAGAGAATGATAACTGACCAAATGTGCTTTTCCTGAATGGGACTAATAAGTCACCACGTGTGATGCTTCTAGTGATCTGACCAGTATTA